CCCTGCGGCGTGAGTTGGATTGTATGTTTACTGATGAAATGTGTTAATTAGAAGCGTTTCTCATTATTTTTTAAAAGATTTTTCGAAGTACGATTGCTTTTGCTTAAGTCGAGTTGGATTTGAAATCCTCACCATGCAGTCCCAGAAGTGGAACATTCTATGAATGCGTGTTTAACATTTCCAATTCATGATCAATCAGGTTTTCCTCAAAAATACATAACCACCGACAAATCCTCTTAGAAAACGTGAGGATTATTCAAAATTTCTTAAACCTCTCGAGTACTGATGAAATTTAAACTTTGGTCGTTGAATTTTCAAGTATCTCTCAGTGATTCCACTTAACAATGATCCGGATATAAAATAAAATAAAATGTGGGCAAAAAAAAAATGATGTACGAAACCGTACAATGTACAACAACACTTTTCCAGCGTTATGATAGCTTGTCAAAGTTTTGTTCCTCGGTTGACATTCTATTGACTGAAATTGACTCAACAAGAAATGCAAATTTCTAATGAAATATAATCCAACAGTGATGGAGAAACTGAAATCTTCTTCGGGTAAATGGATTTTCATGGCCTTCGGTGGAAAATGAAATACAAATCAGGTCTGGCGATGTTAGGGGGAAGTATCATCAAATGATCGGAAAAAAATATACGTTCTCTTCTCATTCGGAAATCGGTTACTAAACATGTCTCAAATGCTTATGGCTTAAAAGCAAATGCGTTCTGACTGACTCAAAAGCATCAGTTTTTCTGATTTCTGAAACAATGAATACCAAGGACAGGAATCGTAACCAGGCAAGCCTATTGGCCACCTTAAAGAATGATTTCAAGTTTGATGAATATCATGTTATTCTGAAATGAGTAAGATTATGAACAGATTGTTCTTACAAACTAATCTAAACGTCCGAAATTTCGACGATACAGCTACAAAAACTGGCCCGAATGTATCAAACAGTAAAGACCCGAACAAAAGCCGTGCAAATAATTAATTAAGGTGTTATCGACATCAACCAAAAAAACTCAAATAAGATTACAGAAAGATCCTATACCTTCAAATTCACTTACCTTTCACAGCAAAGATTGCCGCAATCAGGGCAAGAAACCTTACAAACGTCTGCGTCGAAACCGTCATCTTGTACAATAAGCGTCAGAAACGTCCCCTTCAAGACGTAACTACCTTGACCTATTAACGCAATCTTCTATGTCATTGGTAATTAGTCTTGGTCGGCCGTCTGGACTGTTAAAAAATTCGCTTTAACTATTTTCAACGCGTATTTACCGCCGCCGCGGCCAAGTAACCTAGAGAAGGGTTACTTTTACCAAGGGTCACCGGATATGACGCGCATTGAGAAATAAAACAACTGACATGTTTATTCACCTAAGGGTCTGCACAACTGATACTGTCTGTATAACTCATGGGTTGAACAATTCAAAATATGCCTTTAGCACATTAGAGTCACAATAACTGGAATGAAAGCAAAATTATCATCAAGGTATCATCAACTAGCCGAAGGTAAAAGGGTGGGGTGTGTTACATTACCCTGCTCATCTACTTCATAGAGTGTTCCTATTCAATTATTTGAAGCGGTTTAATCTCTTTTCGAAACTGTTTTCCGTCGTTTCTTTTGCCCCATTCACAGCAACAAAAAATGTTGAGTCAAACCAGAATTAAATCAACGAAAATTGGTGACAGAAACACGAAAGATAAATGACCCTTACATAAAGTGGACAAACATCAGTTTCAGAAACCTCTTTGAAGACAATTATTTTAAATCGTGTTAAACAAAATAGCTTTCGAACGTATTTGAGCTTTGGTGTGAATGAATCATTAGTCTCTCTTTGAAAAAGACAATATTGCTTTGAATATTTATTAAATAAAAACTCCTCTCATCTGCTAAAAAGCTTTTTCAAACGTTCTATCCGTGTTTGAGGGTTGAAATTCAATCTCTTCCAGTGAGCATGAAGCTGAAAAATTCCAAAAAGCAAAAGAACGGAATAAATCCTTATCCTTATCTTTGAATTTTATTCATTTTTTTGTTTTTTTTTTTATTTTTTTTTTTTACATCAGAGCCGCGGAAATGATATTTTTATGAATTCGAATCAGCCAATCAGATGATCCGAAAGGGTTATTTTGCCCGGTGGTGTGGTTTTCCATGCAAACTTATTGATAAAATACGAGTACCAACTTAAAGCCGCTAAAAATAATTTTTTCTCTAGCCGTTTTTCTTATAGGATCTAATGTTTATCTGATGACCAGATCGGCTGCCATTCGTCATGAACCTTCCAACTACTTCCAAATTGAAGAAGTAATGGAGACAAATCCTGTGATAAGTTCTTAAGAGATATGTTTAACATATGGAAAAGCGTGCTCTCTGTATGGAAATTGAGAGGTTATCCATTTCCTCTATTTTATTCGGTGGAGAAGAGGAGAACTGTTTAAGAACTGCTCTAATGAAAATAAGGTCAATACAAGTAAGGTTAATACAGGTTCCACTGTACACTACAAACAAGAACTCTGATAACAAATACGACGACGTCACTGACGAAATTTAGATGATTGCCCTTTAATTTGCATTGCATATGTTTCAGCTTTAACCTTTCATTACGAAGGATTAAACAAAATATAAGATAAAAGAAATTAATTGCAAAATTTAGGGAAAATAAAACCAAAAAATTTTTTCGAGCAACAAGCGACTCGAGGACAATAGTGACTGTCTATGGGCAAACATTCGAGATTGTTACACACCTAGACTTCCACTCAACAAAACGAGCACTGTGATGAGTTGATTCTCGGTCACTTGCCCCTGATCAAATTCAAATGTATCTCGACCGGTACACAATTGCGCAGTTGTTTCTCCCGCCTCGAATACAACAACACGTTTGTTTGTTTTTGCCATGTGATTGTTTAGGAAAAAGTCTAAATATATAGCAAGGCACTTAATGTATGGTCTCTCGGGAAGCTAGTTAGTTTTGTTTTCCCTCGAGTCCTCATGTTTCCCTCGACTTTGTCTCGTGAAACATCAGGGCTGTCGGGGAAAACAAAACAAACTGTTTTCCTTGGGACCATACATTAAGTGTATAATATTCTCCATCGAAGAATAGTTAAATCCGTTTTCTTTGTTTTGCAAGGTCTCTGTCACGTCATTCAACTTACGTTAGCTAGGGAACCCATTTGATATCTCGGCCAAACGAACGCATGTCGTGGGAAATTTGCCGTATAATGTTTTCTCTTAGGCTGTTTGCTGTCTCTGCGTTAAGTAATCTTCACCGTCAATCATTTGCCCCTCACAAGCTTCATTTTATTGTTCAAAACTGACATGACAATTTTTGACAAGCACAGATGTAAAAAACATCACCTTTCTCCTTACGACTACCCACTTAAGAAACATCGACCGGTTGGCGACCCTGTGACCTTTAGGATCTCGGTATCATTTCTCCTTACTTGTTTCTCTACGTTTATTTTAATTTTAGCAATGAAGATTTGGTTTTTTACTAAATTTTTTTTCTCTAGTTGATGTTTTTATCTTTTTCCATCATTTACTGTGACTGCGGTAACCGTAGCTTTCCAACACCACGATTAACTAATAAAAAAGGCGATTTATTGATGTGGAAAAACGATGAGAGTTGAAACTAAAAAACATACAAAATTACAACAATTGATTAAAAGTGGTAGGAAAGAAATACAGCCTACTTGAAACGATGATACTTACATTGTTACGATTACTCACAAACTGCATCTCATCATTTCAGCAAAGAATGACTAGTTGTTTTATCCAGGGATTAAATTAGGAGATTTTCGAAACACCACGAAGAACTTCGTCTGAAAACAAAAAAAGGATTGAACAAGCAACAAGTTTATTAGCACTTTATTACGCTATAAAATTTACATACCATTCAACTAATAATACGAAAATAACATTATTCAATACGAAAATATTCTTCCATTACACCATTAAGACCAACTAAACTTTTTGGAATTGTTTGAAATCATCTTGATCGTATTGGTATTACCAGCTACAGCAGAGTTTTCACTTTCATGTTAAAACAAACGAAATTTTGTTTAAATAGATTGCATTGCCTTCGCTTCACTCGCCAAGACAAGGTTTTATAATAGGCCAAAAATACATAACTTAGGATTTCTAAAGCTACATATGCTAATGTCTAATGTTTACTTAAGTATTTGAAATTATACCGACTGAAGTTTGAAAAAGTGCAAAATGGGGCTAAATTAAAGTATTTCATATCGTTTTACTAACAAAGTCAAAAATTACTTTGAAAATAACACAAATATTAAAACAACGATCAAAAGCTACTCCCAAAAGGACTAGGATGACGACGATACAGATTAAACAGATTAAATGGATTAAAAGAGAACCATGTTGAAAAATTTAACAAGATGAATCTAAGATACCTAAGATACCCTACGTTGTTATTTCGCACACGTTGAGTCACGCTATTAGGAGAGGTTATCGTACCTCATGCCAGTCAACTTACAACGTCTTGGTTTGATTTCACAAAATTCATTTCCAACCACATGTCAGAAAGTGCTACCTTTGTGGTTTTCACTTGGAACTGTTCATTTAAAATTAAAAAGCACTTAAAATATTTAATTTACCAATTTATCATTATCTATTATTGGTTAATAGCGGAGCTGTTCGTAACTTTTCCACAGCAAATTTCGACGAAAATCATTCAATTCACTAAAAATGAATTATCAAATTTCCGAAAAAACTGCATTTTAAAAAGTGCAGTAGTTTCGCTAACAATTACAAAAAAGTCTTTAAAGGTAGTTTTGAATAACGAGTAATGCTTCACCGCTTGTTAACAGATAACGAAGTCTGCCCTTAAACAACTACTTCGCACAACATCCGTCTCAAACATATTTCGCCCAGATGTAGTGATTTCTTCGAGACAACTCCGTCGCCGAAAGTCGAGTACACCCGACGATCAAATTCGGAGACATTCGGCTCTCGTAGAATACAACATTCGAGCACTGATTTGAGTGGCAAGTGAGCAGGTATTTATTATCCCATACAGCAAATCTTTGGGAAAACCAGTAAAAATACGCGTATACAATCTCCTAGACAAAATGTTTACAAAATGTTCCTTAGTGTCTGTCCTGAATAATGTAAGTTATTTGCCCAAATATCTACCATTACTACTCAGCTTCGTCATCTGTCATGACTTGAACTAGAGATTCCACAGCTTTATTAACATCTTTTGCAGTAGCAAACAAATGTCCAACGGGGTCTGCACCTAAAACAAACAATATGGATTAATGATCAGCTCCAATCAAAGCTAAACATGGTTGGACTTGTACTGGCATTTCAGCGAAAAAAAAAAGACTGTCTTCATAAATTTCGCGGTTCAACTCGTGCTTCGGGTTCTTTTCGATTGAGTTTCGTAAATCCAAAACCAAAGCAATCACGAAAACCATTCATAGTAAGAAGAGTTCACCAGGAAACTATGAGAACTCGAAGCAAAAACAAGGAAAATGTTCGAAGCGCGGGAAAACGCGAGTGACCAAGTCGCCATAGCTTTTTGTTTTGAAGCTGATTGGTTGAGAGACTAGGCGACTTTTCTGGATCAAACACACAACGAAATAAAGCAAAACTTAGGCAACCCCGTATAATTTTCCACATACAAGTGAAGATTGCTCTGATAGACGTAATGTGCGAAGTGCATGGTAAATTTAATTGAATTATCCAAGCACATAAATTGATGTGTTTCTTTAAAGTAGTTCCCTTCTTCAACAAATATGTTTACGTTCTGAACTTAGGAGAAGATTAGCAGACTTCCCCTTTAACAAACTGGAGAACAAATGGTACAGTTCTCAAAATTTTCTTGACGAATAGGCTTATATAACAACTGAAACAATTGTATACACAGCACTATGTTTTGTTATGCTATGTATCGCACGTTTTAATGCTACGTTCCGAACCTGGGAGAAGATTAGCACACTTCCCTTTTAACAAAATGGCGAACAATAAGTACAGTTCTCAATACCTTCTTGACGAATAGACTTATCTTAACAATTGTATACATAGCACTATGCATTGCTATTTCTTTCAAATGCACGTTTAAATGTTACGAGTTAGAAGTATCAAGTCAGCTTCAGTGCAAGTGCACGTGACGCATCAAAGCAAGTGCAGGTGGATACAAAGAAGTAATTTTGTGACAGGCTTGCTGAAACAGATGGTCACGGGAGAGCTTTGTGTCCTTCAAAAAAGCAAGTTACTGCAGGAACAACTAAGCGAGGACTACATCGTGATCTTGATTGCCGCGGGCTGTGTCAGGCGTTTGTTTTTAGTGATTGCTGTATTTTGTTTTCTTTTGATCTCATGATAGGATTTTATTATTATTTTTATTTTAATTTTTTTGGACAAATCAATAATTGTGCAGAGTTTGATTGTAAAAGTGGGTAAGTTTAGATCTCTTACCAGAAGAGTCAACAGTCATGCAGGGTTAGATTCCACTGGTTAGGCTTCAGCAGACACTACACAAGAGTTAACAGCATTAGTCACTGAAAACATACAACAAACAACAAACCAAATGGTGCTTTACCGTGCCTCGCTCCTCACTCACTTTTCTGATCAGGAGGAAAAGAAGAGCTTATTTGACTCATGACTTCTTTTAAAGCTGGATCCTCACTTCCTTTACCGGCAAAACCGTTCTTTATGGGTCCTGAGTTCGTCCCACCAGGTTCCGATTCGGAATCACTATCATTCCCGCGGGATTTTCCCGATCGACCTGACTTTACCGGGGAATATGGACCGTCTCCGAGCGAGCTGATGGAGGAAGACGGAGTGGTTCGTTCAGAGGACTGAGCCCCGCTCTGTTTGTCTTGACCAGGCTAAAAAGAAATTAACGATAACATACGTATGAGATATTGTGGAGAATTTTTGGGAAATTTCTACTCTGGGTCATTCAGTAACCATCATTTGCCTGCACCTGATCGAGTAGCTGTCTAAGTCGCTGTAACTGCGCCTCTAACTGTCTGTTATGGTCCTCCAAAACTTGCATCCTTGCCTCCAGGCGACCTTTGTGCTGACGCAGCAGTTTAGCTTCCGCTAACAGCTCGGAATCTCTGTTCTGAGGTCCCCCAGGAGATGCCTCACCATCAGGTGGAAGGCTAGACTGATCTCTAATAGACTTGAGCCGTTCGTATTCTTCTTGGAGGTCCCTGGCAAAAAAATAATGCATAAGGTTGAAGGCAATAAACACGTTGATCATTGTTGGCAATAAAGACTTTTGGGCAAAAGATGACGAGCTCGTTATCATAAATTATCACAAAATACTGACCTGTTTTCTTCTTCCAGTTTGAGAAGTTCAGCTTCAAGATCTTCTTTTTCTACCGCATCTAAAGCCATTACAATCTGAGTTGGACTTTTGGGCTACGACAACAAGAGCGAATGTCATAATACAGAAATAAGAGACATCGCGACAAACTTCAAGGGCTCAAGAAAATCATCATTTAGTAAATCAGTTGTGAAGTTCTTACCGCGTCTGCTGTATCGCTCTTTAGGCTGTAAATAAAGAAAAGAAAAGTACTATTTATATAATGAAGAAAAACAACTTCAACAAGCTACATGGGAACAACAGAGTCTACTAATTTTTAATGTCTACAGACAATTAAAACGATGGCGCAACTTTATCTTAATTCGCTCCCTAGAGTAAATTCTTCTTTTTAAGATTTAAAAAATTCAGCGCAGTTCAAACAGCTAATATCCGAAGTGCCCATGGAGACGTTTTATTTAAGGTGCAATGAAAAGCGTACGGAAACATCTAGGAAACGTTGGCAGACAAACAGACAGATAGATGGTGGAAAGATGAGCTATTACCTTTGGCAGTACTGTGCTATAAGCTGATGTTCTTCGTCCCTGCGAAATAACAATACAGGTTTAGCCCTTATCAAATGATGACCACAGGACGGCAAATCCAGGCAGATCAATACATTTACTGAGACCAATTCTGTTGGAAATGTTAACGCAGAAGAAAGGATAAGACTGCCTAGTCGTGCAAAGACTTACAAATCCTGTGGATTATATTTTCCTCCTTCTGATTCTGCCTCGGCCAACCTGACAGCAAAGGAGAAAAAAAATCACCTTTTCTGTTTGGGGAATTTACGTTAAATAGTGTCTAGTAACCTAGCTCCTGGATTACTCAAATAAGTCTCAAAGCTCTTGTTTCCCGTATGCGGAACAGGAAAGAGGAGATGGTTTTCCTGTAACAATCCCTTCAAAACCAATTTCTTTCCTCAGTTAACTCTTCTGCCAAACAATACATGGAAAGTAAAGGGAGAAATGGGATGTGAATAATTCACGCACCTGTGAGCAAACATGCCTAGTCTGTTGTGTACCTCGTGATTGACATTTTGTTGAGGAGTCGGCATGGGTGGCCTACAAAAGAGAAAAAAAAGAAAGGAAAGTGATTATCAACAGAGAGGGGAAAAAATAACAGGCAAACAAAAGGTATACAACAACAAGGAATGCAAAAGGAAACGAACACTAAGCCTCTTGTCCATTTCCTCTTGAAATAAAAGGGCTAATTTTGACGGGCTAACAAAAATACAGTTTTGTATCTGTTGCGCGGTTTACCAAACAACATTTGCTTAAGGTCATGGGTTCAAATCCCGTACGAGCCTGAATTTGTTTTTCAAACTTTATTTCAACTACTAGTTCAGTGGTGTTCATAACTGCGAGGATCGCTTGTATTCGTTTCTTCAACCGCAGTGCACATTTATGATTTTCACAGTCATTATTTATCATTTGCTTAACTTACGTTTCGAGATTTCCTCCTTCCATCACAGTCTGAATCGGTAAATAACCGAGTTTTCGTGGCGGTTTGTTCTTGTATCGCCTTTTCTTGAATTTGTTTCTAACCATGGCCAAGAAATCTAACACATCCTCACCAGAGGTGGTCTTAATAAAAAGAAAAATAACAATACTTAATCTTACCTATAATACAGAATGCAACAATTTACATGCACCACAGCAGCAAACACGATAAAAGGGTGGAACAAAAAACAAAAATCATAAACAAAAACAAAAAAAATATAAACGACTGGAACGTTTGACCAGCTGACAACTGAAGCCTTGACACAAACCAAGACGCGCACAGGCGCAAGGGTCATCGTTTATTGTTCTCAGTGGAAAGGCATTGTGAGAGAAAGTGTCTTGAGTCTATATGTCCTGCCCAGGCTCGAAGCCACACCTCTAATTCGATTAACTTCGCGCTGACCATAAAAAAATCGCGTTTACCTGAAACCAGCTGCAACACTTAACTAATACACTTAATGGATAAATTGTCAATCAAACAAAGTCAATCTAATAACGAAGCACCTACTCACCGACAAACAGTACTGATGCATTGGGTGAGTGAGACGATGGTCGTGGGAGACTCGGCCCGACCAGAAGCAGCTCTGATGAGGAATGACAAATACGATAGTTAGGAAACTAGTAAGAATTGAATTTGTTATTAACAGCTAGCAAAGCAATACACTTCACATTCAATGCTTGGTACCTGGCATAAATCGTAATTGAAGCACTTTAGACAACGGAACCTGCAACAAATGAAAAACATTTCAAGGGGATATATTTTTAATGCACTAAGGAAGGCCTTGAGAATAAAAAGAAGAAAAAAACATGGAATGGTGATCTTGAAGAAAAGTCACATACCTAAACCCAACGATAGGGTACTCTTTACATATACTGCATTTGGCTTTGTGTTTCACTGTAAGAGAGACCCAAAAAAACAGAACATTAGCGACAGACAAAGCCAAAAGCTTTTTTGTCTTTTAATAGGTAACATCGGAAATTTTTTAATCAATTCACGGCTATATGCAAATTTACCTAGGGTATGAAGGAAATAGAGAAATACTAGATGACAAAAGAAAAAGGGAAGTAAAGTGCTTACCAGCCTCTGACGCGGCGAGTCTGTGAAGTGTTGGCAGCCAAACAATAGACTGAGGTTCAACTGAGAGCCATGTCATAAACTCTGCACAATCGATGGTCTTTTTTTCTCCGGCCTGTTGACAACAGACAGCAATAAATGCAATCAGTTTCAAACTTTTAACCGACGATCTTTCTGAACTTATGACCAAAGTTGTGCTTGCCGAATTAAACTGAGCTCGACCGACATACGAGATTTGTGGCGTCTGTTGGGGTAATTAGTACATGGACGACGACGAGATAATTGCGACCACCATATAGAGATTTTAGAGCGCATTTCGACTGGGTCTCGTTAGACAAATTCATTAAAATACTTATAGAAGCTAATCAGAAGAGCGGGAAATATCGCAAGGAGGCAAATAGAACTCATAGTAAAATAACACAATAAGAAGCGAATTGTTTCAGTCGTGCATCTGCTCGCTCGAGAGGATGGCGCGTGTTCTTGTTGGCAACAACTTTATGATTTCAGATGGTGAATTTCAACAACTTTGAGATTGGAGTCCTTAAGTAGCCTACCTTCGAGAAACAGCTTCTCACACTCGGTTCAATGTTACTGCCACCAAAGGCGGCAATTTCACCGAGTTGACGAGGAATCTGTAAAAACAAACAAATGGGAATAAAATCTTGAAATTCGGTCGAACTATCGGGTTGAAACACCATAACTCGAGAGAAGGCTCCGTTTAAATAGTAGACCAGAGGAGAATATCTTGCTCCTGACTAAATACCTGTATTTACCGAATAAAAGCCGCCTCTTTGTCTCGATATTAGGTGTACAATTTCAGTAAAAATAAAAAAAAGCTTTAAGCTTCACCTGCAGTGAGTCATGTAAGAGCAATCCTAGTTGCTTGTGGTCCATTAAGCCTTTTTCGTCCGTCACAAGCCGGTATAAATCTGAAAAAGGCATCAAACCTTTTTTTTTAGCTGGACAACGCAAGAAGAAATATAAGCGTCAACAAAAAAAAAATCAAACCTTCAGATTCTTACATTTGTATTTGTCTTCTAAATGAGCTCTCGCCATTGTCACCAGACCAATTTTGAAAGAAAGAACACGGATCTTTCCAACTCGCCCGCTAAAAGAAAAAAATAAAGGACTCAATTTTAAATGCCCTTGTAGTATGCGATGTTCTGAGAAGAAAGCGCGCTTATATACAAATGAACATTTCGGGGAAGAAGACACTTTCAAGCTTGCTTTACTCCGGAAAAATTTATTGAACACTTGCTGCCTGCCCATCCCCACAGTGATTAATTATGTCTTAGAGAGCGGGTCAAATTGTCCTGGTATGAGAAGTCGGCTAACATCCATCGAAATAAATCGAAGATAACCAGCTTGGAGGCTTCATGAAATCCCTAATAGCCAACTCATTTACTTTAGAAAGGTAACCATGCTTACAAACTACCATCAAAATAGTTACCTGTCATAGACGTTAAGAAGCCAGTTAAGCGTCAGGTCAACACAGAACTCATTGCTGGTCATCGATAAATCCGCTGGCACCTCAATGTTTTGATATATAGTGGTCAATACCTTGACCATATCCGGGACACCGATCAGAGAATCGTTCGTAGATTGTTTAAGATTGTGCTGCTCTAAGGCTGACATCACATTGTTCAGTGTCACCAGGTCCACTGTTAAGCGAGAAAAGTGTGTTAAGAGTTAATAAATTACACAGGTCTGTTTACAAGAGTAAAATTGATATTTATCCAAACTTCAAATTAAATTTATATCATAAATCATAGGTCAAGGAAGCAAACTTGAATATATTGTTTCAAGGCCTTGCCATCGTAACCAGTTTAGAATAGACTTTGGAATATTATCCTTGGATCGAAATCAAGAAAGTCCCGTTTTGTCTCGTATACTCTGTGGAGGAAAATAGTCGCCAGTTCTAGATCTATTTTAAACATGAGCGAATGAGGTACATTAAAAGACACTCCTTTACTGGGATTATGGAATATGTAGGGAAATAAGAATAGCATTAAAAACTCAACAAAGAAAACAAAAAAAACGAACAACTCACAACTAGTAGCCTTTTGAATGCATCGAAGTTTCATAGCCGTTCGGTAAGCGCTGTACTTGATATCATTCAGTTCCGCTGCAAAGAAAAGACACAAGAAAATTGGACAAAGTCGTTCTAAAAGCATAGTTCTGTCAAAATTTAACTTACTCTCCAAAAAGTGGAAAATTCGGAGGCCCCATAGCTGGCCGTGTGGACATCGGATCAAGAGGTCTGGGTCTGAGCCTGAGCCCCAACAGAGTCTTTGTGTTGTGGTCTTGGGCAAGTTAAGTAACAGAGCGTGTCTCCACCCAGGAGTATACATGGGTAGCATATAGGTATCAGGGAACAGTTAGGGAAACCTAACCAAGTGTTGAGAAGAAGAGTACTAACCGATTTGGTGGTAAAGCTCTGTCATCTTGGGATGATCCCACTGTGTTGTTTCTGTCTTGTGGCTGTGACAATATTATGAGGAAGTATTAATTATGAGCATCACGGATGATTGACTTTCGGTGACAATATGTCTTCTAGTTCAAGCTAAAGGTTCACGAACAAGAAGTAAGCAGCACATGACATGGTAACCGAACAATTTTCGGCTGAGAAACGCCTTACAAAACAAGAAAGGAATCGATACAGCAAGTAAGAAAGGTAAAAACTGCAAACCTACTTGATGTAGTAAGGAACCTTGTTCAGTGCTACTGCTCGTTCCCAGGGTGGTTCGACACTCGCTGATGAATAAAAGGAAAGCAAATTATGCAGGTCAGCATACTGACTGAAATGACAAGTCAAATACACATAAAAGAAAATTCACAGCCGACGAACGTTCAGTATTCCTTCGCGAACTGTTGCACAGCTGTCATTTTGCATTCTTAAAGCAAGGGAAGATAGGGGAAAACAAAAAGCAAAATACACGTAGCAACTCAGCAAACTTTCGCTATTTTATGAACCTAACTGGTACTCCCTAAGAAGACGCCTGTAATGAATGATATCTACTAACCGTGTAATCCTTGCACAGATGAAGAATCAAAGCTGGAGTAGGCTTCTTGCAGAGCGTGTTGTCTTTGCAGCAGTTGGATCTGTAACTGTTTCCATCTTCGGTACAACTGGTCAATCCGGTTTTGAAGACTTGGCGACAGCGACACACCATTGTGCCTCAGTTCGCTCTCTGTGCTGCTGAGAGTCTCAAACATGTTCTGAAGAGATGCTATTTGTTCCTGGAGACTCTACAAGAGATCAAATATCCCGGATGAGTGTAAGGCGAATTCCTGGATGTAAAGAAGGCACTCTCTTTTACATGGTCGACAGAAAAAAACTCATAAATGTCTAGGCGGCCGATGACTTCACAATTGTAATAGTCAATATTTCAGGACTTAAGAATTGACAGAAAACTGATACTACAGCTTGATTTTTAGGCTAGGCATTGCCAGGAGTCTTACTTCATGATTTTAACACTTGATGTCATCTTGATTAAAAGTAATAGTTAAAGAGCAAAAGTTCAGTCTCTCATTTAAAGAAACTAATGATGCTGAGCAGGACACGTTATTTAACGACTCAAGTGTCGATTAAGTTTGAGAAAGCCTATGGCAAAGTAAAGTTTTTCCACAATACTCTTTGGAAAACGTTTGTACAAAACAACATTGACAAATAACATTTGGAACACACTGCGGACAGTCAAGAGATCACAATCTGTTTCAAAGCACTCCACGATTATCATTACCTTGAGTTCATCCATCTGTTCGGATAGCGAGTCAATGACGAGATCTTGAACTGGTGTCCAGTTCGACTTCACCTGCTCGGCCTCAACCAATCGCACATCAATCTCCTCCATCTGACCCTGGAAAAGCTGCAACTTCTGTTTAGAAGAAGAAAAATTAAAACAAAATTAGGGCTTTGTTGGGAATTTTCTGGAACACTGACCATTTTATTGAATAATGATACATGTATGTCACACCATGTGCTTCTCACTTCACAAAAGTTAATCATTACCAATCGCGGAAAAGTTAGTGAGTAGCGTGACCGATCAGATTGCGGCATTTGTGACAGAACGCTAGAGGATTTATACAAACTCTCATTAACCTAACATAGTACAACTGAGTAATATATGCCGTTGTTACCAAAAAAACTTGGATTGAATCATTCCACAATAAGGGTCACGTTAGGCACAGAAGACAGGACGAAACAGCATTATATCAAGCACTACTAAGACCTTCATATCAAAACTTATATTCGTAGTTTCTATGTGAATCTTTCATTCACCTAAATAACGTCTAGCGGTGTTTATACCAAAAACGAAAGCTTGCTCATAACAAGGAGTGCTAAATACTGAATTTAAAGTAGTAAAGAAGGCACGCCTTTGCGGAAGTCTCAACGAATATAATCAGTTTAGAAGTATTGTGTAACAGATAACATGCTTGAATGATGTTCTCCCTACATAACAAACACGGGCCGATGGTTCAAAATGAAAAGAAGTATAAATCCTTCCTTTCTAAATTATTTAAGAAGAAAAAAGTCACAAATAACAGGAATACCGAAATGTCTAACATGAGGAAAACAAAAGCTATTGCAAACCAAAACATTCAAAAGTTCGGTTAAAAATGCTGCATTTGGTGTCTCTCTCACTCTCTCAATCGTATTAAAAAGACAAGAACGTCTGCAGCACGTCATCAAATTTAGCTCGTAAATGAATTCATATTTCAACAATCCGAGTCATTTCTGCAGACAGAAACTGTTTTCTCACAAAACTATCAAACAGATAATCCATGTTCCAGCTTTATCGGGGCATGTGCATCAGTTGCATCACTACTTCAACCCGTAATTTGAGTAAAACAAAAGTAGTTGCATATCTACGAAGTTACATAAAAACCTAGTAATAAATCCCCTTTTCAATAAAGACCCAAGAAATCCACAGGATGATAAGTTGATAACTAAGCCTGCGGCGGATGACACGATTTTCATTTCTTAGACGCGGACGTATTAAAAAAAAGAGAGCAGTTTACTGTATAAACAAGATTAAAGCGACTTATGTCCGAAGCGGGTTTAGGTTGCTAATATCAGATTTGCAAAAGAAGGCAAATAGCAGAAGCGTTTTGTTTTTCTTGATGGCAGATATCGAATAGAAAACTAGCGTGTTGCACAAACAACTATACTTATCTGGGAACTTTTCCAAGAGCAAAGGAAACCGCAAGGAAACGATTCAAATGATAAATAGTTATCAATAATTAACTTACTTTTTAGTAAAGTGATTAACATGTTACTTCTCCCTATAACATTCATACATTGTCCAGCAAAAAGGTAAGGAGAATAATCGAACTTATCAGGTAGCGGTTGTTATCTTGATCTAACACCAAATTCTTATAATTCTTATGCAAGGAAATCTGTAGCAGCTAGAGAGGAGAATTAACAATCAGATTTTGGGAGTTGCAGGGTTAGTGGTTTTGAACATTTTATGTGGGAGATACTTTTTTTTTAAAACAAGATCTATAGGAGATATCAAATGATTTCAGTTCCAGCATATTGTTTCCGTTTTGTTGCGATAAAGCGTCAATATCAGACATCGTTACTTAACCAAACTGACACCAACATTGTTTTTTCCGCTGCATAAAAAATCGCATGGTGGTCAAGTGGTGGGTCTCACTGATCTGAAACTCACTAGATGAGCCTTTCCCCAATTAAAATCAGAACAGATTATCAATTCTTCTGTTGGTAAAGATACTAATTCAAAAATTCATTGTTAATGCAAAATTCCGCGTGACAAATCTAAGTAAAATTGCGTGACCCGGGTCATTGAGTTCCACATGTGAATATTTAACCTATATTGACTTTAAAAAAAATGAAATTGACATAAAACTTTGCGTGGTATTTGCAAAAAATGAATCAAATTTGAAACTAATACGTTAATTCAACATGTGCATTATGGAGATAAACAAATATTTGATAGGCTTCAGGGTAAAAGCACGAGAAATCTTACACAATGTTTCCGCAGCGGAAACGAATTCGCGCGTTCTTACTACTTCATGTTAGGACATAAATAAAGTAAAGAATAGGAATTAAATGCCGAAACAAGCCTCATATACTTCTCCAGTACACGAATTCTGTAACAAATTAATAGCGTTTATTGTCCAGTTACAGCTGAGCGCGTGAAAGTGAGTGTTAAATGCAGGATCATTGTTCAAATTTTCTTATGTGGGTTCCGAACATCTCTTGCTTCCTGATAATAAAATCGATAACGTCAATAAATTGGCGAATCATTGCTTCGGCTTTTTGACTTGTTTCTAAGGAAAGAAGAGTTTCTTTCTTCGCTGAACAGCCCAGCTTTCATGGGATTACGATCGGGTTGCCATTAATACCAGGGTCGAAATTCGTATGAGTAGGAAATTCCTGAAATCTTTCGACTGTTGTTTGGCTCCTCAATACAAACTACAATGATGAAATGTTCGTCTCGAAAACTGGTCATAAACATGAGGGCGTGGAAACTTTAGGGTAAAAAATAAACCAATTCACGGGACAATTTACGCGACAATTTACGCTAAATAAATGCAATATTTAACCTCGAAACAAGGGCTAAACAGTGCGCGAAGGTCAAGTTTCATCCAGGCTCCCCGTTCTGCGAGAGAGATAAACTCCTGTGATTTTTTGTTCATCACAAAACAACGCATCACTCACCGAAAAAAGGAAGAGGAAAGAGTGAGCAGCTGCATATTTCAAGGACACGTACAAACATCAATTTGTGCAATGACTGATTAAAACAATGAATGATAGCTTCGCTCCAATAACCCCCGTGAAAAACAATCACAAATGCAATAAATCATCCCAAATTTTCTGAATGAAATTTTACCCTAAGCGAACAACTGTGTCAAATAACCTTTAAGTAGTGGACAGTACTCACCATTTGGCCACACAGTTACGGAGATCCTAGATATTTTACGATTTGATTCCTACTTAATTTAAGTCAACACTAAGTGCGAGAGTAAATGTGAAATATGAAGCTGTATTGCCCGCTGATACGATGGGCCGGATATGGGTGGTTTCCAGATGACCTATATACTCTACACTTTTCCTTTGTATCAAAGGTGTATCCGATGAAGAAAGATAAATAATACAAAAAAAACAGAAATACCAGGACTATTCTCTATTTGAAGTGCATCTTGATACCCTTCGAGTTTCAATAAAAATTGCAGAATACTTCCAAAAATAAATGCATCCGACATATGATACCCCGCCTGGTACTTCTAATCGTCCGTTTTAAAAATCGAGTGTTGTTCAATAAGACACGAGAGAGCCGGAAAAGATAACCCTTCCCCAACTATTTTTTAATTCCTCTTTTTTTTCCTAAAAGCCACCGTTTACCAGATGGAGTGATACATCACTTGGATAGGCCACATTTTTTAGCGTAATCCCCTATTGTATTCGAACACAATGCGATATGCTGGTTCACCACTCTACCCCCTACAGTACATGGCCACTGTTCATCACCCTACCCCCCACGGTACATGGCCACTGACTGTCAACCAGAGGTCCAGTACTTGTTAAGTTGTTCTTGAGGACGAGTGTGACAAAACGTACAGCGGTTTTCACCGGATAGAGATTTATCGTTATCGATCCTTCGAACAACTGGTGCAAGAACAGGAGTGCATGCTTTTTTTTAAAGCATCCATTTATCTCTCTTTATATTTGAGACGCATCGTCCGCGAACATATAGATTGCCCATTACTGCAAATTGGTCCACGTTTCTGAGCCAAAGTTTTGCAAGCAGCACCAAAATCAAGAAAAATGGCACAAGTGACAGACACCCCCTTTAATAAGCGAACACAATTCGGAACAAAAAAGAACACAATTCGTTCCCGTTCCATGAAAGGTACTTACCCTTAGGACTTCATCAATCCAGTGCTGCCAATCCTCTGACCGCCGGCACAACATTGACCAGCGTTCGCTGACTGTGTCGATCTGGCGTTTGAGATTCTGCGCAATGCGCGCCCGTGGTGAATCTTTTGGTTCGTCAGCGGCTCGGTCCGTTTCATATTCTTCTAAAACCCTCCGGCCATCGTCCAGAGCGCGATCGACAACCAGTCGCCTCACATTAAGCTTGCCCTTGAAAGCCTACACAAAGGAGACCAAAAAGAGTTACATCAATAGTTCTTTCCACTACAAAAGGAACCCTAAGAAAGCCTTTCGAAATTTCCTCCTTTCTAGCCACTCATTTGACATTTTATCTTATTTACCAGAAACGTTTTTTATAAATTTGAGATAAGATGCACTTATTATAATATATCACATGGACTGTTCCTTACAATTTCGTTTTTGTCCGAAAGCGAGAGACCTCTCGACAATTAAGCTCCAAATCAGAAACTGCATGTGTTGAAAACTTGCTGCTAAATAAAAGCAATATTTTTACGACAAAAAAATTGAAACAATAAGGGGCCATTGTCAGTATCTAAACAACTGCACACTTACCCCTTCCTTGACACAACAACAGTCACTTGATGACAAGTTAGCGTTAATGTTTGGTGAGGGAAGGAGTAGGTGTGCAGTTGCTAAGATACTGATATTGATCCACAATCGGTTTAATTTAGATGGCTCTGAGGTCCTATCTTAAGTTACATTCTTATATTCCAGTAAAATCTTTACTTGGTGCATCTCGTTCTGGTTGCGCACGCTTTCTACATCTCCTCCTATTGGCTGCTGAAGGGTCAGCTCCTGATCAGCACGTGCAATCCAATCGATTATCTCCTGAAGGTCCATCAACAACTGGCGCCACTCGGTACCAGTGTCCTCCAGCCGATCTCGGATGTCCAACGTGCGAACATTGAGTGATTGCCATCTTTCAATAATAAAGGGGAAAAAAACAAAACTAATTTAAATCAGACACTCATCAAAACGTAAACAACGACACACACAGTCATACACCATATTTATAATATAAAAAAAATGCAATTAGCACCTGTCATTCATATCATCAAGCTTGGCTTGAACAGCGGTTAGCACATCCCCAGGCTCCATCTCGGCCATAATCAGCTGGCCATTCTCGTTAAGTGAAGCAAACATTTCTTGATGTCCATTAATGTCATCTTCCAGGAACTAAAACCCAATGATAAAACAATCTAAACCCTCAGAAAATTACAACTCTCTGGATAATTACCCTAACACAAAAACGCCCTTGTAGGAAAATTTCCCCTAGTTTTTTTTTTTTTTTTGTTTTTGTTTTTTTGGTTTTTTTTTTTTGTGCTGACGAATCATTAATTTATTTGACTATATCGCTTTAGTGGAGGTGTTCGGGTGATTACATACGTGCTCGTGCTCTGATTGGCCGAAGATTACGTCATATCTTGCTCTCTTTCCCCTTCCCCACAGGCGATTAAAAAACGTGTAAGAAAGTGAAGTTGCTCTAACAATTACCAAAGTTATTACACTACCACAATTATTCTCCTCAGGCTAAGGGAATATGGTCGATTTACCCGTCTAGATCACCACTTCCGAGTGCCGCAAGTGTATCATTAACACTGTAACCTGTTACTCTAAATCAACAAAGTTCATTATCATAATTTTTAATATTTATATTTCGCCTTCAGAATATGATTCTCAAATATATCATTGACAAAACTCTCTCCTCAAACAGCACGCTGACACGCATTGCCTTTCAAGAAAAATTCACTGTTTGTCACATATCAACAGAATTGAAAAAGAGTGTTACAATGCAGCATACTGAAGACCTACTTTCAATTCCTTCCTGAGTGCATCCATGTCTTGCTGCTCCTCAGTACTTGTTGCTTCCACTGCGCTGTCTAACTCCGCTACTTTTGACTCTGCTGACGTCAGCCATGTTAAAGCATTGATCATGTCTTCGTGGAATCGCACCATGCGGTCGAAGGCTTCCTTTAGATTTTTCTTACGTGAGTCAGACCTGAAGAAATGAAAAGCGCCCATATAAATACTACAACGACAAAGCCTGCTATATACTATACAAACGTACAAACAACAACGGCCAAATCACTTCAGGGTCCAACAGATAAATCCTATGCAAGGCGCAGTTTGATTTGGCCGCATTCGTAACCGAATCAGTTTTTCAAAAAATTAAATTTAACGTGCGCATCATGCTTTTATATTTATCAGCATCTACCCGATGGGTTAGCAATTGTAAAATAAAAGATTACCTCTCAAACAAGCAACTCCAACAACGCATGATGAATAGACGATCTGAGAATTGATCTCTTACAGGTACTTGACTTAATTTTTTTTTTCGGCTCCACTAACACTTCTTCGGCAATTTGTGAAAAGATGCGTCAGAGAGTATGCGAAGACAAACCATTCCAAAAACACGCCAGTTTAAAAATTAAAGTAGTCAGACATGGCAGCTGATGGACTATTTTCTACTTTTGTAACATCATATCACAAAGGGCTTCGATTCTTCCTTCTTAAACATGCGTTTTGATATAAGATGGGCGTAATATGATCGACTTTTCATTGTAACTAACGTGCGAAATCAGCTCAGGACCGTCCACATCGTACGAGATTTTTACAAATTACATAAAGTACTCAACCCAAAAATTTTATCTGATCTCGGAAGTATTCATTCAAAATCTTATTCTCAAAATCAGCTAATTAGCATCACATCTGTCATTATTTATTTTTTCTCGATTGGTGGTCTAATCGATCAGTCAATAATTAGTCTTCGCTTTATCAAACAAATTCACACGAGTGCCGACCATATTTCTGAAAACTGCGGCTTTCACAAAGAGACATTCACTGCGATCAACTCTAAACATTTAGACCTCGACAAAAACGACAAAACACCTTGATCTTGATTTTTTGTTAAACCAGGACTTCTCAATCCAAAAATGACAAGGGTCAGTGGCTGTTACAATTATATGCATATATATCCCAATTCAATATTTTTCTACAGCAATAAAATTCTCCCATAGAAATCACATCAGTCTGAATTAGTAGAAGAGTTGAATGACAAAACGTATTTCAATTTTTTTTTTCAGTGTTTTCCTTTTCTCCGTTTTTGGAAAATCATCTCATAGCCAAACAAACACATGACTCCTAACCCAAAGATCACAACATGAAGTTACAAGAAATAAAGTGAAAAAAAATGCAGCAAAACGACCGTTACTTAGCGAAGGACAACATCGTAAAATAATCAGGTCTTTACGGTAATTGTATTGTTTTTTGATCTTCTTATTGTTAATATTTCCAGCGAGGAAAGAAAGGAAAAGCACAATAATAAAAAAGGTGTTATACCAGCGTTATTTAACGACTGAACTTGAGTAACACGAAAGCGGGCAAAAAACCCGACTCTTTGTAAAATACAAACAGATACAGTCCGGGTAGTCGAAGTCACCGGCCCGGAACTGGACACAGCTGTTGTGAATTGACTACAAGTATGAAATGAGATTTGTCACAACTTAAAAATAGGCGTTATTTACCCATGTAGGCTTCATTGTAAATTAATATTATGTGATTATTCCAGAGATCTTTGATTAAATCCTGTCGTGAAATAGTTCTCTTCAGACATACAAAAGTTAAAAAATTCTCTCATCATACCTAACAGTTATGTTACTCCATCTCTCGTTAACCTCTGACATGGAGTTTTTCAGTTCTCCCGATTCGTAATGAGGGAATTCTTGTACCAAGTGTTCACCGCACTGATTCACAGCAGTGATGCTGCCGCGCCAGTTTTCCACATCATCTTCGAACTCCTGTGTAAATTCAGAGAAAGTTATGATCAAGTGAGACCAGAGGGGTATGAGGAATTATCCTGCCGTGTATTGCCAGTTACATCCCCACTCAAGAAACAAATCCGAAAGTTATCGAATCAGAACTGAAATTGTGATCGTGAGGTTGTTCATTTGTTTTATTTAGAATTAGTTGACTGACAAACTATTTCTAAAATGACAGCTTTTTTATCGATCACATCAGACTCTGGATAAAGAAAGACATTGAAAAAAATTTTTCATGCCCCAGCGTATGATTAAACTACACTGATAAAAAGCGCTTCCTTCATTACCGATTTCTTGGATATTTCATTTGAATAAGAAGACCCTATTTTTACGACCTGTCTAGCAACTTGGGACAAGCTAGTCAAGCATCCTCCTTCAAAACTGGTAGGTCTGTGGCTTTGCTTAGTTCTTACATAAAAATCAACCTTTTCATTCGTGACTACCAATCAACAACTGTCTCCCATTATTCAACTAAACATCACTGACCTTATGTTTGTCGATCTGTTCTTCCAATTCGCTGACCGTGTAACCGTACACGTTCTCGTGTCTCTCTAGATAGGCCTCAGCTTTCCTGATCCATTCTAGCAGTTCTTCCCGAAGTTCCACGAATCTCTTCCATTCCTCGATCAAGTAATCGATCTGTCCTCGCCAGACGCCTGAGTTGTCCGCGATAGTCTCCCAATGACCCTTTAATTTGCTGACCTGCACAAATGTCCAAATAAAGTCACCTGGTTAGACTGGTTAATCTATTGAACACTTTAAATTAAATGTACATGAGATTTTAGACGTTTCTAACTTAAGAAAGTTCGATGTGCGCTTTTTTTAAATCCAAAAACGCAATTGGTGACATGTTCCCACGTCACTCACCATGCTGTCAATCAAGAACTTGTCTTCCTCGGTCTGCGCATCATCAGCAAGACTTTGACCCATTTCAGCAATTTCGTCCAACAAATGCTGTTTGGTTTTAAGCTGTTCATCTATGGACTAAAACAACGAAAATATATAAAAATATTTAGTATAACAAGCTTTCAGATAACGAGCGACACAAGTTTGGTTCTCGAACGAAGGAGAAGGTAAATATGAGAATCCACTGAATCTTAACACACCTTTTGTTTTTCCAGAAGTCCTTCCATGTCTTCAGAATCTCCCAGTACTATCTTCTCTGTTTTCATCATCTCTGACAACGTATCCAGCCAGTCATGAAGTTCCAACACTGCTTTGTCGAACTTCGGCCATGGAGATACTCGCTCTTGAAATAAAATAAAAGATAGAGTAAATACTTGTTTCCTAAGCATTTGGCTTCGTATGTAAGTATAAACAAGCCAATGCGAAAAAACTTCCATAACTATTCCTCGCTGCTATAACCACTTAAATCGAAAATACAAGAGAGAAGGAATTCCTCAAAAAAAGGAAAAAAACTCATTTAAACTTACCCTCTATGATCATCGGAATGCCAGAGTGAACAGGAACACAGTGAAGAGGTTTCTCCTCGACAATCGATCGGGGCGATCGAAGGCGAGCAAACATATTAGCGGTCAGTGACGCAATTCGACTCCAATTGTCATTAAGTTCTTTGACTTTAACCTCCAGGGACTTGGGGACCTGGTTTCCATCAAGTTTACTTTCACGTCTGTAGCGCGCCATGTTTTCGTTTATTGCGTCAAGCTTCGGTTGACGAGACTTCATTGATTCTTGAATAGTCTGCAATAAAAAATAACTGGATAAATAAACTAAAACGAATAAATAAAGAACACTGTCCCAATAAGGAAAAGAAGCGTCCCTCGTTACTTCTGTTGATGCTCAATCCATGTAATATTTCGGGTCAGCAAACAAACTACCTCTCTACCTCAGTTTTTCACTGACATGAAAGTTTTCTTCTTTACTCTAAAATGATTTCTCAAAAGTAGGAGTTTGTCAAGTGAGAATTCATTGTATTAACTCAATGATTTCTGCTACATTTTATCAGGTGGGACGAGCTTTTATTGTAGAACAAAGACTTAAGAGCTGTTTATCAATTATCAAAGTACTTGAAAATTAAACACACTGAGCTTAAACAGCAAAATAAATCTTCTTAAATCGAGAAATTTGACTTTTACTCTTATCATAACGACGCAACAAACCTTGGGATTAATATCAACAGCTTCCACACTTTCTCCCTTCTCTAACAGTTTTATTGTCCCAGAGGCCCATGAGCTGAGCTCTTCTAGATCTATAAGGAACTCTGACACGCGTCTAAGCTTAGACTCCACTCCGCGCGTACGCGTGGCGATATCTGCGCGCAGAATGTCCCATCGAGTGAGGAGGATGTCCAGCCTCGTTCTGATGGTCTCTGAGTTGGGTTTAGAGATAGCTGGTTTGGACAGAAGTCTTTCTGCCGTCTGTTGAATGCTTATCTTTGTATCTTCTCTGTCGTTTTGTTCCTTATGAACGCCCTATAAATAAAACCACGAGACGTTTTAAAACAAACCAGTTGGTGAGGAGCTTTGTCTTCAGTCTCTCAGAGAATGGTCGCCAATTGAAAATGAAAAACAGAGGAATTCACGCCATCACCGTCTCATCTCATTCTAAATTACTGTGATCAGCCAAAAGTACAGCCTTTTTCTTCTGGATCAAAACTGACTCACCTTTATTTTTTCAATCAGTTGCACCAGTCCATCCTCATCAGCTGGTGATGGATCCTTAGTTTGCAGTTCAGTATCTGCTTCGTCCATCCATTGCAGCATTTCTCCACTTTCCTCCAAAAACTCTTCAATCTGCATTGCTTCCTCTTTAAATCTAAGGTAGGGGAAGAGAATTCAATTTCAAAGAGTAATAGCCGCGACGAAGATATATCTAAAAACACGAAGTTGACAGCGTAATGATCGACGAGGTATCCAAATTCCAGAGGGACATAAAACAAATCAATGTGTATTACATGACTTTTAATCGTGGAAGCTCGCCAGTCCAATTCTACTGCAGCTCGACTCTAAATCGTGTATGGTTTGGGTCTATCACAAGATATTCGTTCAAATAAAAATTCAAATCCTCGTGAGTCAGACATAGAAACAATTTGAATACGCTTAGTAACCTGTCTCTTCTGTTGGCGACTTGATTGCAGATGGATTCCCAGCGCCTGTTCTGGCTGGTCAGTTTATCACGCAGCATATCAGCCTCCACTGTTGTCGATTTACTGATAATCTCCTGGCCAGCGGTATTCATGGCATTGACTGTGCTCTGATGCCGGGCAATACCATCTTCCAGACCCTAACGACAAATATATCGCAACGGTTACGGTGGCAAATAGATGATTTGCTTTAACGCAAACACTTGTGCCGAGCAAAGTTCGCAAAACTTTGAGTAATTAACCGCTGAGATGCGTGTTGAACGCAACTCACTGAGCGTAATGAAATAGTTTTCGGACGCAATTCAAACAGATTCAGCAGCATATCAAACACACTTAAAACGCAGTTAAACACGTCTCAACCACACATCAAAGTAAGGTGTCGCCGTACCCAAAAAGAGTGAACAAATACGGATGGAAAGCGTAAAATGCACGACAACATCACTTTTCGCTTTGTTAGGCGTAATATCACAGAAACATTCAATTTTTTTCTTGGTACATTACCTTTTGTTCTTTTTTGGCGGCGTTAAATTCAACTTCCCCGGATGTCTCATTAAGAACCTTCTCCGCATGTGTCATCCATGACGTCACGTCTTTAAGATCGCAGTGGAATTGTCTCCACACTGCAACTGCCTTCTCCCAGCGAAGCGACCGCGCCTTGTAATCCTGCGCCAAAATGATAAAAATAGTCGATTAATTTGGCTATGACAGCAATGCCTCTTTTGATTGGTCACCAAGCCGATTTAGCCTGCATATCAGTCGTTACCGTTTCTTTTCCCCTCCTCCTGTATATACTTTCTCAGTACCAGACCTTCACGCGACTCCTGCTAAGCCAAACTTCCTATCTCGCTTGGTTAAGAGGAAATGAAAAAGACTGCTACCACCCTTTCATGTTATCAACCCTCGTTGTATTATTTTATAAATAGTAGAATATTGAATTTCAGTTGGTAACGTGTATAACCTACCTGATTAAGGTTATTCCATTGTAGTCTAAACTTGCTGGCGGCTCTCTTGACAGCATCGTATTCCTTTTCACTACAGGCGGACTGAACAGTTTCACTTCGAGAAAGAACTCCAGTTGCACGTGGCTCAAAATTCTCCAGTTTCTCGCTCACCAGCTGTAAAAAGAAAAGAAATACTTCAAAAAAATACGCAGAAAAGCGAATGCAGAATAAATTTTCTTTTTCTTAAATATAATTTCCGTACAGAATTAAAGTTTTGACTGCATAATTATCATGACACTCTGATTTCAATCTTAAACTAAGTCCTCACATCAGAGAAATGTGGGATCAATGCCAGAACCTGAGCAACCTCGCACCTACCCCTCCCAAATTCAACAATAGTCAACTGATAACAAGTTAGGGTTAATGTTGGGTTTGGGGAGGGGTAGGTGCCCAGTTGTTCAGCTACTGACGTTGATCTGAAATGTGTTGTGAGACATGTGACTCAACACCTAGCTGGGTTATCTAACCTTCAATTTATCCTCCTGTTTGGAGAAGTCTTCAAAGTCTGCTTTCTGTAACTCAGGAGATTCTAACAGCAGCTCCGCTTCATGGACTTCATCCGAAAGTTTCCTGATGTCCTCCACCAACTTCCATCCGGGAGTCAAGGCAGGTTCATGGTCCACAAGGGTTACTTGCCAGCGGACTCGCGCTAGCGACGCCTTGGTCATAATATCATCGCCTTCTGTTGAGCAAGAAAGTGGAAACAGCAATCAGAATACAGAGAATCACGAAAAATTACAGAACCAGTATTTTTGTAATGATGTAATGATCTGAATGATCTGTTTGGTATGCCGAAATAAAGTTCAAAATTTGCTATTTGTAGCTTAATCTGTGAAAATGGTGTTAGCGGCGGACGTACACAGAACTGGATCAGTAATTTTCGTAAAAATTCTATCATACCTTAAGTGCAACCAACTATAAGCCACGGCCACTTAACATCAATCAAAACAAACTAAGAACGACAAAAAAGTCGTAAAATAGTCGTAGATTTCCGTAATTTATCAAACTTGAACGACCAGCCGAACACTCTATTTTGAAATTCGACCATTCAAATGGAAATTATTATTCACTGGGCGAGTCGCCCAGCTACAACCAATAGCAGGCCTTGTAACACGTGGTTGGAATGACAATTTGGAAAGTATAAGTATCTCTCTTTTCAAAACAGGTAACACTTGAAAACAAAACTGTTCATCTCGACATTTCCTAAGGTTTTACTTCGCAAAATATTGAAATGCACCAATAAAAGCAAATGAAATTACGCTCGCCGACAACGCGGCAATGTAGTGGAAAATACAAAGAGTTTAACATAACAAAGCAGACACTGATCAAAATTAATCTATATGAAAACATCCGGTTGAAATTCTCTTCGCACCATCTTTACTGTCAATTTGTTAAGCAAATGTAATGAATGTACGACTAATCAACCAACGCGAACCTTTGTGGCATTGAATATCTCACGTAAAGTCCCAGGCCTTTTCCTGTAAACCCTTATATCCTTGCCATGGTAAATTTTCGTACATCTTTCTCAGATTACAATCCTTGAGTCGCAGTTTTGTGTTTGAATTCAACTATTGCACTATTCAAGTTGTAGAATGTTATGAGCATGGTTAAACATGAACGAGGTTAAACGATACGTTATTTGTTTATGGGACCCCCTTGGTAAGATTTTCTTCACCAACGAAGATTTCGTAGAAAAAATCGTTTGCTATCACCAATTTTCGAGAGGTTTTGGGGAGTTGACGAGGCAGTCTGATTTTAAGATATTGAACAAAATCGTTAAATGAAAAACTGTTGCTACTAATTTTGTAAGAAACTAAGCTTTGCCTCCATAGCATTGAGGGCTCAAAGAGAATATTTTTGTATAGACTTATTTTTCACCTTCTGGTAGGGTGTAACCTTCACACTTGATATCTTGCATGTCAGCATCTCGACCAATCCACGCATTGCAATTGAAAAAGTAAACCTTTCTAGTTGATCTGTCTTCGACGTAAAATCCCTTCACGAACCAATCTGGCTTGGGTCCAGTCCTATCATGCCAAACTTGGACCTTGTGCAAATCGCCGAGCTGTGGAATATTGTACACGGTGAATATGTCAAGCTGATCGCGACAGAACTTGGTGTTGTATGTCTCGGATTTGTCCAAGCGAAGTTTCGACGACTTTCCTTTATCACCAAACAACATCACAGACACGTTCGACTGCGTACCAGCATCCTTTACATCACCAGTGTGAACTGTGATGCGATAAGAAGTCGCTGAAAGATGAAAAACAAGAGGCAAAATGTAGTAAGAAAAGAAGAAGAAGTAAAATGTTTATCAAGACATTGCACTCACTGTCTCCAGCTGGCCTGTGGTACTGCATAAACTTGGTGTGAATGGCCCTGAATCTCTTCCTCAGTCGTTCAATCTCGCGAGGAGTCAGTATCTGAACTCCTTGTCTGTCTAGTTCCTCGATATTCTTAAACACCATCTCGTATTTCGCTTGTTGCTCCTCGATTTCCTCCGGCTTTAAAGAATTAGGAAAGACAACATCATTGTATTGATGGAGTAAGACATCATTTGTTAATCTTGAAAAATCTCTCCTTTATTCAGTCTCAAGTTCATAAATTTCAACATTTTTCAATTCTTTCAATTTTTTTTATTGCTTCATTTCCACCTCTTCCATCTGCAACTGTTAATCGGCCTTCATAAGCAAACTAGAATTGTAAGTTCTCTGTCTATCTTATATCCTACGTCGCAAAACGATAAGGAAAAAAAAACATAAACAAAGAAATCTTATCTCCTTCAGAAGACTCCTCTCTCTCATAACCATTTGATTACTCTTCGTGACCATTCAAAACACCGCAGCACGTGTTGAGTATGACAATCGACCCAGTCCTCCTCACCTTAACCGTTAATTCTTTTTCCTGCTCCATCTTTCTGAGCCACGCATCAATGTCATCCAAGTTGCTTCTGAACTGATACCAGTTCGGCACAATACGGACAGCTTTCTTCTGCTTCTCGACTTCATCACAAGCCTTCACCCAACGACTGGACAAATCAAGCAACGACTGGTGGATGTGATCTCCCCGTGCCCCCTCCCTGTTAGCATAGGTTTTACTCTCCTTCAACAGGTGCTCTACGCGGGGCTGCAGATTGTCAACTTGAATTTCCGCAACCTAAAGAAGAGGTCCACAAGGCGTTTATGAAACCTCCAATACACACACGTAGGTTTGTAAGGCGTTTTCTAAGATTTGACATAGGTTCACCGAGCGCTTTTTCATCCAACTTTGGGTTTAGGCTTTTTGGAGGGATCTAAGAATGCCATTAAAATTAATTTGTCTAAAAATTCCCTAACTGAACTCCAATAAGAGCCTAACTAAGAATTGTCTCCAAACTCTCGATTCATGTAAGATTTCCAAATCAAATGCGAGCTTCTGTCAGTGCACATCCTTCTTCCAATGGTTTCCGGTCCTACCTTGATTTTCTCTTTGACTTCTTTCTCAGATGATTTCTTGGGAGATTGAATGTCACGAATAATATCTTCCAAACCTTTGATATCCAAAAGAATCTGATCTAAACGCCTCTGAAAGTCATCATCCACGTAGTGCCCTAAAAGAAGAAAAAAGATGGCAGTGAGTTGAGGAAAAAGCTTATTATTACTATTTGTATACCACATCACTCGTTTTAGATTACACCTACTTTGGATCAATGTGCGATCTACAGATCCTTAGCTAAAGGAAACATGAACGAAAACCTTGGAGTCACCCAAGAGCAATTGAAGCTCAGACCTTTATAGCTCGTGACTCGATGCTATGTTAACTTAACTATTTATCTTTCTTATACACACACGACGCTTTCGATCACAATAGTATACAAGACGCTTGTCGCGTATGAGCCCAGTATACGGCCGACATCAATAACATTTCTCTGCGGCTCTTTACCGGTCTGAGGTTGGCTCCGCGCGGGGAACTCAGACATTTTTCTCCATGCTTGTTTGAATTAATAACTTTTTCCATCATTTGATCTTTCGTAAATAGACATAAACAGGACGGTCTTTCCTCTGAGATCTCTTTTCACCGCTGCATGTGCTACATACGTAATCTAAGTCTCACCTGGAGCCGAATTTGTTGTGTAGGTCCTGTGAGTGGTGATGGTGGTGATTGGGAGTCCTGCGTCAGTTTCTGTCCTTTTTTCTCTCGATAGATATTCTTCAATTAACCCCCCGGGAGTAGACGACACTGTCTTACGCTCCTGAACATAAAAAGACCAGATCAAGAGGGTTTTTTCGATACATTTTCTTCCATAGTTTACCTTTTAACTGTGAAATTGTTGCATCCATAATAATTAGTTACACAAAAAAAGAGAAAACTTTCTCACCGTGACGATAATCTCTGTTTCCACTCTTCCTCCTTTAGCTCTGGCCTCCGCGGCCGTCCTTTTGGCCTCATCCAAGTCTTGCTCCAGCTGACCTATCCGAGCTGACAAGTCATCCCACCTTCTGTCCAGCAGACGCTTGTAAGGTTCCATGATGGGACGGCCGCGATGAACGAATTCACCGCTCTGCTTCCTGATTAGATTCAGCTGAGGCTCGCGATTTTTGATGCTTTCTTGTATTTCCTGAAACAGAACGAACGAACAGAACGACCATTTAAAAACACTTTCCAATTAATAGGAGGAGTTTATATTGGAACTTTTACGAAGATTAACTTGACCCTTTACACCGTTACATAAGTATTCATGCTCTCGACACAGTTCTCTTAACATTTCCTGTGGTACTGATAAGGAGAATTTGTTTGACAATTTAGAGCTTCTTAAATTTTTGATCGTTTCCTTTATTCTCATGACCTTCACATTTGATTTAAGGATGATGATGTGAGGAGAAATTTGAAGCCAGTCACTCCAAGGGTTAAAACAAAGAGCTCCAATTAACGTGCACGATATAAAGACCAGCTTGTCGTGACAATTTGAGGTTGCATATGAAAGATAATCCCCAGATGATAACTTTCCCAGTTAACAATGCCCACCAACATGACGGTGTATCCAGCTAAGCCGGGGGATACTTCAAATGTTTATCATTCTTGAAAAGGAAAGGGTTTGTAGCTTAGATGAAGGGTTTTTTGACAAGACCTAAAAGGTATTGCGACAATCGTTATTCTCGTATGATTTCAGCAGAGAAAAAAAATGAAAGTCTGCCTAATGCTTTTATCATTCTCGACCAACTTTTGCCGCATGTTTAACAGTACTCTAAGAGACATCCTCCTGAAACTAAGAGACATCCTTTTACGACTTAGGGTTATTATTGATTCAATATCCGATGTGATTTATATAGTCGTTACGATATTGCACGCCCACCCAATAACAAAAAAAATCACAATAGCCCACAATTCAATTATATTGAGCCACCCTTACTTAATTAAATCAGGAGGGTCCTAAATGATTGCGTGATAAGTCGATGGTAGAGATGCAAGGAAAATCACATCATACTCACGTCTGATTTTTGAATGTTAAGATTTTATATTGACATCTGACAAAAGACGATATAGATGAGGGGATATTCTTATCTTACAAGTGTTTGTGGTGTGGCGAACAGTAGTGGAGATATAATTGAAATATTTAGAATAACCGCAGGCTTCCGCTGATATTTTCAATAGAGTACTTTCGATTGGATTCGCTACGAAGTTAAATCTCGTGACTGGCAATTTGCAAAGTTGCAGTTTGATTCTCCTTCACATGAACGGACGAGCCAAGCCGCTCATGTCCTGCTTGGAACCATCAATTTGTAGTGCACTTGTAACCGGAAGTCATATTATTTATTCTAAGATTACTTTTGCTCTCTTTAAGTGAAAAACGAGCTATTAATTTAATATGAGTTATTGGGCATTTCTTTGTTCTAAAATTTGACAAAAACGAGAAGGGTTCACTGTAATATCGCAATGATTATCACATACCAGGAATATGCGTGGGCTGGACTATTGCTTTGAATCTCGAGACATAAAAAAATCAGGTTTACCGAAAGAAAGTGTATCATTTCATTTAGTATTAATTCCACGAATATGACAGAAATCTTGACTTAAGGTACGTATTTGCCCTCAATAGTATCTGAATTTTTGCTATCCAAGCCCCGCGTACGCTTCACCGAAACCAATATTGCATTCTAAATCAGATACTATCGCTCTTAGAATTTAAAGAGTAAACTTAAAATTTTAAAGCACTTACGTCAATTTTGTTCTTAGCTACGTCCGCTTCGTCTAATTTCGGCTGCACTTTGTTGGTTTCTTTTTCCATATCCTCCAACCATTGGTTCATTTGATCCACAGATTTCTCAAAGTCCGCCAGTTTTGCCTTGTACTTAGGCAAGGTCAACATTCGCTGTTCTGCCGCTGAACTCAAGTCTTCCCATGCGTTATTGATCCGTGTTAGTCGGTCTTCTAAGTTCACAAGTTGGCCAGTTTCAGACAAGTCGACCAATTCACGACCAACTTGTGTGAGGTTTTGCACGTCTGACATTTTGCCAGTGACCTCTTGCACGAGACCCTAAGCGGAGAAAATACACCCACATTACATAACTATTCAACGCAAATGACTGGTTAGAACAAACTACTTCTCCACTAGAAGAAATTTGAAGAAGCAAAGGTATTGACATAAGAGTCAAAGTTTTATACACTTGCTCAGATAATCTGAAACATACAGTCAAAACGGAAAGAAAACAGTTAGGATGTTAGCTCTCATTCAAGTTTCAACCGTTCAGAACACTACCTTGTAATACTTTGCTTGACGACTCCGAGATTCATACGTCAAAACAAAACCTTGGCGCATTTTTCCATCTTTAGAAAACTCTCTTTTCCTGGTTAACATTTTTCTAGGAGTTTTTCCTTATCCGGTCGCTTCGCAGCAGACAAATACACTGAACAAGCCTGAATTAAAACTACGAAAACATCGCCATATTGGATTCGAGCGCCGCAGATGCTGATAATTGAGTTAATATTATACTCTTGAATTTAGCGATCGTTACCAAAAGAGACCGAGGCCAGAAATATCTATATTGGCTAACTAACACAAGTTTAAGAATGATATTCTCTTGAGTTTGAAACTATATTGCTGAAACTCCACAGGGCTTAATAAAGTGTACATAAAGAGTCACGCAATCACTCCTGCTGTGGAGAACAAAACTAACTCCAGATTGACTGACATCACAAAATGTCGGATTGAACAGACAGAACGCTAACCTGCGACCAGGCGTTCTTTTTCTGGAAGGAGCCCGATACAGTGGCGGCGCAAAAGTTATTGGGAGAGGGGGGAGGCAGCATAGCGAGGGAAAAAGGACACCCTCACAATCCCAACCCCGGCTCTTGCGATTTAAAATATTGTGCTCCCCGAAAAAAGGGACCGTCTGATCGCAGGTCTGAGAAACACAAGGGTGGTAAGAGTACGCAAAGAAGTTGCAAAGATGGCTAAGGATGAACTCAACTAAAATGTATCGGAAATGACAACAAAATATAAGTTTGGTTCATGAGAAAAACACCGAAGAGGTAAAACTGAACCAGAAAGGAGCCATGAAAGGCTTAGGATGGACAAGATTGACACTGTTTGTACATAAGTTCATTAGTTTGGCAAAAAAGGAAAAAAATCAGTGAGCCAATAATAAACCAAGAAGGAACAAGGCGACAAAGGATGAAGAGGAGTGACACGGATTGTATATGACTTCAAAATATTAGTAAATAAAGATAGAAAAAAATGAGAAGAAATAATAGACCAAGAAAGACGCAGGACGGAGAGGATTCTAACGGATTGCAAACTATTACGAAATAAATGTTCTCTAAGATAGAAAAACACCAAAAAGGCATTAATCTAAGACAAAACAAGGATGGCTGAGGATGGAGAAGATTCTTATTTATTTATGTTGTCGTTGTCATCAATGCCCTAAAACTAACCTTGTTCCACTTAATCTCGCCATCCACGTCCTCTGGGAATCCGTCCTCTTCTCTCTTCTTTACTTCAGTAGTCCTGTCCTCCAGCCACTTTTCCAAACTGTTCATATCACTTTCCAGGCGCTCGGCCAAAGGTAACGCTTCACGGAGAGACTAGGAATGAAATGATCAGCAATGTTAAACATCAGCGGTTATAGTTACTTGCTTTGCTACCGTTACCAAGCCAAATTTAATAAGGCGGCGAATTTCATAAAAGACCAACCAAAACTCCTGAATATACGGACACCAATATGCATATTTTTCTACAGAAATGCTTTCCAGAGTACAGACTCTGAAAAAAAGATTCGAAGTTCAAGAATTCCACGGGATCTCTTTGAAACTCGAGAAGGATTGTTGTATGGAGGTGTTTTCCTTTTTCTTTTTTAAAATTCTATTTTATGACAAAAAGCACAAAAACAATCATCGATGAGCTCCATCTGAAGGTGCCGACACTTTCATAATTGTAACGTACACTTTGTCACATGACAGAGACGATCTCGTCATGCCACGTTTGTCACGTCACTTTCCTCGTCCACCGCGAGACTTGCCGTGAAATGAAAAATTTATCGTTGTTTTTATGCAAAAGCCAGCCGAACTAAAACACAACAATTTTCATTCGGTATTAGCGAGTGAAAACAGTGCAATCTATCTGTGAGATTTGTACAAAGGTTCTCCTGATCTCAGTAAAGTAAGTAATGACCCATTGATAATTCAAAGTAGTAAAGTAACTTCAGAATAATAACAATAATTTCCCTGTCTCCCTTCTCGTTTCAAGCAGTCCTGTTTTCGAGAACTGTAAACGGTTATCAGAATTAATATGCAGTAAAAAAAGATTAACTTACAACGTTGTCACAATAAAATCCAGTAACGACTAATAGCATCTCCACAAGAAAGTGGTTTAGAAAATATGCAATTCGTGAATTTACATAAATGCATTGTGATTCCTGTTTTCAGAATATGAGGGGTGAAGTACGAAATACGTACGCTAAAGAGCATACAACATGAAAAGACTAACACAACAAATATCACACAACTTCAAAGTTATCACTGCAACAGAAATATCACAGCAAGAAATTTCGTTGGAGACTATGGCCCAAACCACAACCTTCGGAAATACATGAACATTCCTGAATTAAATACGATCAGGTTTCTTTTAGAAAACTGGGATCGTACGTTTAAAATCAAATATGCGGCAGAGAGCGAAATCTTAGAAAATACGGCGGAGTTTGGAAAGCGCCTTTTAAACATTGCTTGAAGTTAATTTAACGAGTTCGCAATTTAAAACGTAGGAATAAATATTAAAGTTTAAAGACTAATCGTAAATTCACACTCTTTTCTAGTTCAAAACTCGTTTACCTTTGTATCTCACCAAAAACCGCATTCTTCCCGGGGATTTCAATGCAACCAGTGTAATGAGTTTACCAGTGCCGAAGTCTGGTAACATATAACCGAAGCGATAATTTTGACTGCAATCATACGATCCAACGACGCCGTTGGAATAATTAATCCAAAGGGAATAAAAACAGATGTCACAGCTTTATCAGTAACAATCAGGGAGGGTCGGCTATGAAAATCCAATGAAAGAATAAATTGCAGATTTTGTTTTCAATTTCATAATTGCTGAAGTCGGCGTGAAAAAGCTACTGTTTGTTGAACCAAAAATAGATCACATTTAACTACCTGTGAAAGGCAATTAATCTGTACTTTGACAAGAAAGATTGAAAACAAAATAATAAATCTAGAATTTAAAGCTGATAAAATCATTTGTCATCTTCAAATCACAAGAATCCAAGCAGATCGAAATATGTCAGATTAATAAGACTTTTCTCTAGATTCTTGCAGACTAATCCAGAAAGAATCTTTTTAAATCTATCAGCATGTTCCGACAAACCGGTCATTGTAACAAAAAAAATAAAAAGAATCATGAAAATGGGTAAATTCTCAAAATTTGCGATAAAAGAAATATTATTTCAATATTATTTCAATGGCTATGCTAGTAGGGATGAATTACGAAACAAAGCAAGATAAAAAGACTGTACATGAACAACCATGCAATGTTAAATTAAGAAGGAGGCCAAGTTAACAACAAACATGTCGGTTACTTTGATAAAAAAGAAAACATAGAATGAAATATAAACAACATCGATTCTCGGCATTTCTAGAAATAGTTGCTCTATTTTCTCTTTTTTTCCATTTTCGTTTTTTTCTCTTTTTGACTTTTATATATTTCTTCCTTTTAATTTCTAAGCTTTTTCACTCTTCTTGAAACCCTGGAGAAGATTGAAAACATTGACTTCAATTCTACGTGGGGGGTCTCCCGGAAATCCTCAATGGGTTTTTAAAAACTTGTCAATGGCAAGACATGATAGAAGGAAACTAATCAAAAGAAAAATGATAATTTTTCGATGTCCAGTCGGGAGCGAATTGTTAAATTAAAAACGAAAAAATTCACATTTATCACCACAAAAATACTTTAAAAAGTAACAACATCTGAATGCTAAGTAATCCCAAAGTAATCCCGAAGTAATCCCTTCCTTTTGGATCTTGCGCAAAAATAACAAATGAGACTTTCTCGTGATTTTCACGGTTTGAAAATGTAACAAGATTACAAGCCACAAGTCACGAAAAAGTCCCAGATGATTTCACATTCTTCAAACTTACCGCAATCCAAATTATTTCTCCATTCGAGACTTAAACCAAATGCCCCCCAAATTGAAAGAAAATTAGACTGGTCCGAAAAGTAAAACCTGATTACCAAATATACTCCCACAGAAAACAAACCTGGCGAAGCAACAGTAAAGAAGTGAGGGGGAATGGGTTTGACCATGTCAGCTCAGTAATATGCTAAAATTAAACTGCTGACTGGTTTTGAAGCACAGCTGGAATTGACAGCGATTAAAGAACTTTGCCCTTTACATCACTATAAAACAGGAAACCAGGGGAATTAAAAATTTAGGGTCGTACAGTACGTTCAAGATTACTGATAAATGGTAGGACGATCCGACCTGAAATTGAAGCGAAAGCGAGTTGATTTATCTTACACAACATGACGCACAGAAAATCCTACTATCGCTAAAAATTGTCCTTACAGTACATGCACTAACCTCGTCCTTGCTTCGTACTTTCTTCTCCAGTTCCCTGTGTTCATGAACCACTTCCTCCACTCGCCTTTCGACCCCAGACTTTTTTTCTTCTGGAACTCGCTCCATAATCTGAAAGCCAAGCTTCTTGACTTGTTCCAAGTCTTTCTTAACTGTGGACAGTTCATCTTTGTATGACTACAGCGAGAGAAGAACATTGTGATAGGACCAAGTTCACCTGACAACAACTATTATGAACTGTGCTTAACGACATGACAGCTCTGAAAACAGAGCAAAACTTCTCAACACACCGAGAGGCCAATCGATGGCAAAGACCTTCCATCTTAACACCAACAATGAATGACAACAATTTTCAGGTTCGACCTCAGGCCATCCTGAGTGAAAACATTGATCTTCCTTATTGAAAGAAAGCAAAGGTATCCTTGTGGGCCTTGCTCCGAGACAAAGCAAACGCTGTGAAACCAAAATATGCTGACGCTCACAGATACATCCGGTCAAAAAATAGGGAAATATATTTGCAAACGAGAAATGAATACATCGCGACAGCGAAATCTTTCCGCAAACTTGAAAAACAGATGACGAAGCATAGACATACAACGAAAGATGTCACTTCCTTCGAGTTACAAACTTACGAGTATTGTAAATCCTTAGTTTAAAAAAAGTCTCACTTCTCGCTTAGAGACGTGCCTAATTAACACCAAGCTCCGTGGAAGCCTGTCTTAAAAAAAAAAAAAAAAGAAAAAGACGACTTACGGTTGGTGTAATTACCTTTAAAAACAAAAAATCCACCAAATTTCTATGTGTTCACTGCAGGATTTTAAAAGTTTTTTCAAAGGTTTTTTAGCAGTAAGCTCAACCGCCAGTATTTGCGACAAGAAGCACAGTTCTTCAAAACAAAAGAAAATTTGAGGATCGGCAACAAAAACAAACGAATTCGTCTAAAGATTCGAGAATCATTCAGTTTTACCACCGAGCTGAAAGGAAAATACGAAGGCAAAGCTTCGAAGAACAAAACGTGTAACACAATTACCTCGGCTACAGATCGCAGCTTGTTACAAAATGACGACAACATGATCCCACAAATTGTGGTCACAAATAATCTGCATTAGAAATTTACGAACTCTTGTAGACGACTGAAAAGAATATTCTTGCTAAAACACTCTCTTCAGGAGGTCATTTAAAAACATCTAGCTGCAATTTGTTTTTAAAATTCTTAAAATAATGGAACTTTAATTTAGACCCCATGAAAAAGTCATTACAACTTGGCTGGAATCCAATTTTCAAGCTTAAATTTCACACCGTGGAGTTTTTATTAGGAAAAAACTCTAACAGGTAATTTGTAAGCAAATGAGGTCTGCCTCAGATTTGCAGGAAGAGAGACCTTGGTAAACATAATAAATATCAACAACGCTGTTTACTCTTCTCATTTGCATCAAGACAATTAAAAAAGCTCTCGCTCAAAACCAAACTTTACCACCCTTATCGTAATCTTGATAAAAGGAAACCTCAAATTATCTGAAGATCTAGCCTCAAAAACCAATGAACATTGTGTTTATCAATATATTCACCAACATTGCATTAAACCAAATTTTGGAAAGTAATGAAAGGTGGTCCTCTTGGTTCAATGATTTTTCCATGCACAATAAGAGAAACTTTATTTAAAATCTAAACAACGGATTGACTTGATAAACTTTGAAACGAGTCTCAGAACGCTCAATTAGGATATGAAAATCAGTTGGAAACCAAAACTAACAAGCAGTGCATATTTTCACGTAAATTTGGAAAGCTGATTTATCAACACGAAGCATTAAAGCTATTGTTCATTCCATCAATTTTACGCTAGGGTCACGCACCCAGAATTTTTAATTCCAAAACAAAGTTTATTAAAAAACAAATCAGAGTCTCAAGATGTTAAAATATATTTTTAGTTTACGAATGTTGTTTTTTTTTAATTATCTGAAGGGTCGGTACAGCTTAAGTAAAGAGTGCTTTTCATAAAGAAGTAAATTATTCTCAAATGCAAAGTGTTATCGATATGAGACTGTATGTTTACGCCTAGCGATAAACGAAGATCCTAAGAAATGGTACTACTAATAATGATAACGATTATTATTAATATATAATAGTAATAATACTGTGATAACAAAATAATAGTATAAAAATAATCATCAGAGTATACCTTCACGAACAACATTACCATATGAACAACTTACCATACATTTATCCAAAAGACCCTTGATATTCCTTGGCTCAGCAGATTCTAACTTGAGCTTTTTCACACTTCTGTGTATTTTATCCAAATCAGTCAATGTCTGACCATGAAGTTTGTCAAACTCCGCATCTAGTTTTTTACCTGGTTGTTCTTTGAGGTCTACGAACTTAGTGTGGATTGTTGTCCATTTCAGTCTAATCTGCTCCAGATCTTTTAACACCTTAAGGTAGACAGACCCTTTAGGGGTTTTGCTGAGTTCGGTGGCCGTTGATTCCACTGAGTTCATAAGTGACTGGTTTAGAGAGAACTCCTCCTCTAGAGCCTGTTTTAACAAAAAAGAAGAATCAACGTCGTCTTGTGATATCCCCATCATTTGCGTCTTTATCATAGGAACAAGTCGTACAATCTGACTCTTAATGGTTCAAGAAAGATTTTAATTTTCTTTTTCGGCTACTTTGTACGAGTTGCATTATACACGAAAAAAAAAATAATTTACGAAGGTGTTTTACTAAAAAATGTGTTGATTATTTCATAGTCCGGCTGAATAAAAGATATGTAAATTTTTCATCTGAATGGCCAAATAATTTCCAACAAGTCGTTGTGTTCTGTCTTTCCAGCTCTCTTTCCTTGAATCTGTCAGTCAGTCAGAATGTCTATTTGCTTTTTTATTTCAGTGCCTTGTTTAGGTTTGTCATTTACCTTCATTTCCCTCTCGTCCATCTCTTCGTGTTTGGCGAGTTTCGAGTTGATGAGAACTTCAATCTTGACAAACCACATCCTAATTGTCTCCAAGTCTTTCTTCATCTGCTGCCTTCGCTGTATTTCTCCTTCAAGAACCTGGCGTGTTTTGTCAACTTTACCCTTAATGACGGACAACCGATCCTGATAATAACAAAAGCAGCCAGGATTAGGTGAGCAAGGAGAAGGATTTACAGAAAACTGATCATCACTCAAGAAACACGAACCTCTATAGGGTAATGAGAATTTAACTGACCTCGTACTCTCCCATATCTTTTCTGATCACATTTACAGCGATTCTTTTGCTCGTCAGCTGCCTGGCGAGATCTGACACCGAGCCTGGACCGCTTTCCTTGATGGCTGCGAAATGACGATTTAGATTCTACAAGGAGGAAAACAGAAGTAATGTGCAAAGTCACAGATAAGTGGCTTAAAGAGGGTATGTGGTAATCAATGTTGGAAAGATTTTAAGCACCCATTACTGTCACAACCTATCATGGTTTCCGTAGCAGGAAGCGACAAGGAGGGCTGTCACTACCTTGCCTGGGATGCTTGTACACTGCAAGTGACCATTCAGCCACAAGACTAGTTTCCAATATGGTTTGCTCCTCTGGCCCATTAACAACCCAACCCTGAGGTAAAGGGAAGCATTGCTAGTCTATATAGGAGTAAATTGCGTAGACCAAGAACACAACACAGTGACCTGATCGAGGCTCCAACCAAGTCCTCCAATCCTGAGTCCATGGGACTAACCATGGTGCCAAGCGTCAACCGCAAGAGTGAATTTAACCCAGTTTACCAACCCTCTGTTCCTTTATACTTTATTATAATTTCAGAACCTTAAAATAAACCTGACGTACCCTTAGAGCTTCCTCAAGTTCGGTTTCAGTCCCCTCGAGAACGTGATAACTCTTCTCCACAACTCGATCCAGTTCACCAATCAGCTTATAATCTCGCTCGATCAACACATGAAACTGTTCCATTTCTAATTGAGTCTGCTTGAACTCGTGCTGCCGCTGTGCAACCTTTGTCTTCAGACGGTTCCAATCGCTATTCAGCTTTTTCAAGTTTTCTTTCAAGAGGGTAGGGCTGCCCTGTTTTGTGCGGTCAATCAATTGATTTCCAGTCGTGTTGATTCGAACAACTACTGGCGCGCGCTTGGATATATCTTGTTGTAGTTCCTGTACAAAAAATTGTGCCAAAAATTTAGGGTAATTATCAATTCCAGACTCTTTTATTGGCTTGCAACACAAAAAGAAAACTATTTTTGCAAAGAAATGCAAAGATAATATTTTCTTTCAGGGGATAGAAGGTTTTCTCTAACACAAAACACACGAGCCCTTAAAATCCACTTACTGGTGGTATAACGCCCTCTGTTTAGCATACCCCCTGATTTCCCGAAGAAGAAGGGAGGGGCTTTACAACACCTTTTTCCGAGCACAGTCACAGTTTACAACATCGGCAGCCGCTTATGAAAAATCATATCGAAACTGCTGTTTTCCGTGACCCCTGAACCCTACCCTCATAACAACACCAACATGAACATTTTCCAATTGTAACAAAAGTCACCTACGACCCAAATCGCTTTGAACGCAAAAAGATTGCGCCCTCATCTTGAGAACAACTTTCTCTTGTTAGAGTCACGAGGTATTCGGCAGTCAAGTTCATGTAAAATGCAAGGCGAGTCTTACTTTTTCCTGGACACGTAATGCTACCTTATAATGATCCATCCTCTCCTTGGTGATGCCACCACCCGTGATCTCTCCCTCATCATCAACAATGGACCGCTCCACCTGCATGATCCAATGGCTGATCTCCTTCATGTCCTGACTCAACTTCTGATATTTCTCAAGAGCTGCGACCAAGTTATCCTTCACTCTGAGCGACACACGTACCAGCTCTTCCCAGCGTCCGTTCAGTTCATCCAACTCGTTTTTGAGTTTATCGGCATAAGCTGGTGAAGCTTTGCTTATCATGTATGTCCCGGTTTCATTCAAAGAGTCCAACTTGCGCTGAAGCTTGGTTACATCGCCTTGCAAGGCCTGAAAAACAACATTGAAGAAACAGAAAGATTGAGCCAACAGAAACATTGTTACCCTAAAAAAAAGCTTCCGGTAACCCACATTATCAACATATTTCAATTTTTTTTCACTTTGCCGCCTATCATCTCTGAAAACGAAATGCGAGTGTTTCCAAGGCTTATCTGGATTACACTTATTTCAATTTGTCACAGCTACAGTATATGTCTGAGATGGATGTTCTCTCCATGAGATATTAAGTAAGAATGCAGGTAAGTAAAAAAAAAAAACGGACCTCGCTCTGGTCCAGTTGAGCCTCCAGCGTTTCCGGGTCACCAGCGGCAGGTTCCTGATCCTTAAGGAAATCACTAGCGTCTGTCATCCATTTGAACAATCCTCGGATCTCTTCCGTAAATTGTCGAGTTTGGTTGACGGCCTTTCCAACCTGACAGATAAAGTAAGTTAACCCTTTAACTCCCTGATCAAATTTGTCATTCTCCTTACTGTTAACCATACAATTCTTGTAATGTTGGTTCAGAGACTTTAGTATTGGATCAACAAATTATCCCCAAATTGATATTTTTCTTTATTCTTACCACTTATGTGGTTGATATTGTATTGCTATTGTAAGGAGAAATTCTGTCTTGGTCACTCATGGGAGTTAACGGGTCAAGACAAACAGGAACGTTTTTCCAAGAACACCATCCAAAGACTAGAGTATTTGTTGGCAAAACCTGAGGACAATATTCTCACAAGGTATCTATCCACTAAAGAGAGCTCATCAGAAGCGTTTCTGAAACTTAAATCAATAACCAAAGAGAGACGTTTTATTTTATCACGAGGTTCGGAGGGACATGGCTTTCTTACTTGGTTTTGTCGCTTCTCGGCGTGAAGATTGATGTCCCGCCATTTATCATTCAGATCTGCTAGCTTCATCCTGAGCTGTTCTGATCGCTGTCGGGGAAGAGACTTAACAAACTTGTCTCCAGTGCTATTGAGATAGTCCATGTTTCTTTGCTGTTCAGTCATGTTCGCCTGCAGTTGCTGTTGAAGAGAAAATTAATACTTCTTACGTATGAAGATTTTTCTGTGGGCCCGAAGAACATTGAAGACTAAGGAAAAATAACTATATCAGTCTTTACAGACGATAACAGGGAATACGAATGTTTAAGAAGATAAATAACTTTTTTCAGGCTCCCTCGCAATTCATAGCGTAAGTTGTGTCTTGTTACAAGGTAGAAATACTGGTCAGCTGTTTAAAGTGCCTTGTTTCGCTTCTGTATCTTTTTCCTCTCTTGTCTGCATAACCATGACGCCTCGACTTCATGACCCGGCTCTTGTTATGTCGCCTACATATCTTAAGTTCGCAGACAACATTTTCAGCTCTGTGCTGAGAAACGAGATCAAGGAGTTGAGTGACTTTATACTGAACTCAATGTAAACCTCTGACGATAATCACTTCAAATGACACTTTTCTTAAGACAAAAATGAATCATAAATCTCCTTCACACCTTGTACTTCTGTAACTGTTCCTCAAGAGATGTTGTATCAGAAATAAGAAACTCCGCGCCGAGTTGTGACTCCATGCTCTTAATCTTAACCAGGACGGCGTCCATTGTGCTGAGGAACTGCTTTGGGGGCCCAGACTCCAGTGCGGCCGTCAGCTGTTTTTGTCTATCCTCCAGAGTCGCCTGCGCTTTTGTCCAGCGGTCATCCAGTCGTTTCACTCCAGACTGGAGGTGTGGGGTATGTCTGTCCTCTTTACTCAGATTCCGCGACAGTTCACGCACTTTGATCATGGAGACCTCATTGACGGTCATTTCCTCAAGTTTTATCTACAGTGGAACAGTTTATGTTAATATCAACGCTCACGTTAGCTTAGTCGGGTTTCTGGCAACCCAACACGGGTGAGTATAAAGGAAAATCAGTATGGAATTGAAGAGAACTGATCCCAAAATCACAGAAAGGTGCAAATCCATCATTTAAGAATAGAACCAGTAGATAGGAGGTGAACTACAAGGGATTTAATTTCACGCATTTGAACTTTGAGCTACAAGGAATTTGATTTCACCCACTCACCTTACATAATTCCAGTTGTGATTTCATCTCATACTCATTGTCCGGGACTTCAGCACTAAACTTGTGAATAACTCTTTCCACATCCTTGATCACTGCCTCAAGAGTTATCATCAAGTCTTGTACCTCCCGCCTCCTACGTGCCAGCAAAGCTTTGTGCCTGCGATCATCAATTAAGCTACCTACGGAATTCCAGCGGTCGGTAAAGTTGCTAAGCGATTGTTCAAGTGACACTGGTATGTTGCCTTGACTACGGCAGTACTCAATCAACTCTTCTCCTTTTTTCTGCACGGTCGTCACGCTTGATTTCCTCTGTCTCCTAGCGTTGTCAAGAGACTGTGGAGGCGAAACAAAACTCTTCTCAAAATACATCCAAATCATGAGCGATTGAGACATGTAATCCGTCTGTTTCACGCAATTCGTTTTCAAGTTTACAGTCGAAAATATAATGCAACTAAAACTCTTTCATCACGCTTTCATCGCTGCTGATCTGGTACTGTATAGAATACTTGTGAAATATGATCATAATATGTGTCCCCAACGAGTTCTATAATAAATCAGACAGCGAGATACAAAGATCTGAGCTTAGAAACCTCGTTGGTAACTCCATCGCCCAGAATGCTATGATCTTTCGGGGTATTTCCTTGCACTGCAGGGCAGTACCTGGTGCGGCATGAAAATTAAATTTTCTAGAGCCAGTCATTAGTGATTGATCAACGAATTTAGCTTTGGGAATACAATGTCTTATGTCCCTCGTTACACGTCACAAATGAATAGCGACTTTTACCCTTCGAAGACCGAGCTAAAATTTCCCTATACATTTTCCATCTATTACCTCAACCAGTTCGTTCTGTTGAGCCACTTTATCACCAGAAATGTTTTCATCATCCAGATTAAACCCGGGGGACTTGAGCAGTGTTTCTGTATCTGTGATCCATTGACTCTTATCAACCAAGTCAGACAGAAAATGCTGCAGTTTTACGTCCATACCTTCCAACTAAAAGCAAAAATTCTTAGTAAGCATTTACTCTTGATGCAACGTACAGGGCGCGAGAAATACAAAAGACCCAACGATAGACACGTTACGGCTGATGAAGGTCGGTAAAAGGTGAAATCCCCTATCGGCTTGAATCCTCACAGCGCATGCGTATGCTTTGTCGTCAACATTATTAAAGATCCTGTTGCTGTTGGTATTTTCAAAGCACATGACCGATAGGTCACACAGCAGGTCCTCGTTTCAATTTACCTGGATTTTCTATGAAGTTTACGTAAAAATTATTTAGAATTTAACTTTAAAACAGGAGAAAACCAGACGAAGAACCCGTAAGCGGAGTTATTTTCGTAATATTCGATGAGCGCCAGACCATTCCTTACCAGGGATATTCTACTGGAAACCTCTGTGGTAATTTTGTTCCATCTGTCATTAAACTCTTCCATTTTGTCTTGAATCTCAGTGACTCCAGGCGAGTCCTCGTCTAAGTTTTCAGCGACTTTCTCGGCAGCAAGATTAAAAGTTCCAAACGTGGCCTGTTGTGCTTCCATCTCTTGCTCTAAAGCCTGTCCAAAGTAGAAATAAAGGATAAAACTGGTTACACGGTGTTCACAACACCTGAAGACAAAAATAAATTTCTAGCTTCAACAACTACAGCCCAAAATATATAAATAATGCTAGATATTAAATACTGGCAGAAATTAAATACTGACCAACTTCAATTTTACCATGGCAACGGAATACCAGAACTCAAAATTGAAGTAAAAACCATAAATCGTAAATGGATCACATTTTTTCGCCTCTTAAGATGTTTTAGACTAAAAAACCATAACAAGAGAATACACTAGGGATTTTATGCAAGAGGAAGGTCACCACGACACACATAATACTAACCATTAAGATTTTCACCGTCTTCTTTACAACATCGCTATCGCCCAAGTCAATGTGCTTGATATCTTCAATCTGTGATTCCTTTTCTTTCAACCATTTAGACAGTCTCCTTTCTTCGTCTCTGTACTGTTGCCAACTCTTCAACACTTCTTGTAACATAGACCACCTGGTATATCACCAACAAAGAATTTCTCACATCAATAACACTAAATTTCCATGCAAAAGGATGACGAGAAGAAAGAACTAGATCGACCAAGCGTCACACTGATTGAACAAAACAGAATTTCGTTTGGCACGTCACTCAAACAATCCTGCAGAAATCGCAGATAAAATGAAAAAGACTGTCAGCCCCCAAAATCCTCCGTTAATAAGCCACACGAGGCGTTTAACATGTGATAATAGGCATGCAAATCCCCCTTATAGGATAGTCCATAATTTTACTTGGGTTCATTTACAGGGTCGCTTTCTTTAAAAATACAAATGGGAGAAGAAAAACTTCAGCACACCAAATCCGAGACGAGAGAATTCGAGCGAGCGGGGAAACATTTTTTCCCAGACATCAACACAGAGAATCTTAATTAAGATTGCGTCACCTCTGCTCTGTCCACTTGCAAACGTTTGACCAGCGCTCCCCAAGAACCGCCAGCTGTTCCTCCAGGTCAGCGGTTGCACTCTCATTAGAGCTCTCATCAACTACAACAACCATGTGCGTCAGTGAGTTCACCTGCAGTTGCTGCTTCTCAAGGTCTTCCTGGAAAAACTGTGTGACCCAACAAGGTTAATACCAACAAATGGAAATTTAGTCAATAGACTACGTAGCCGTGGAATGGTTCTCCTTGTGCGGCCACACCTACCTTCACTTCATACAATATTACGAGCGCTAAGATTCCGAATCTTTAGCAAGTTTAAGGAGGGAATCGACGAACTTACAAATGCCTGCAATGTTAAAAAATTAGTCATGGAAATTAATACAAAGTGAATCTCATACCTTGTGATTTTCCACCTGGCGTTTCACGGTGTCCAGATCAGAGCCAATGTTTTCCGAGCTCTCGATTCGCTTTTCGGCCACAGCCAGCCAGTCGCCCAAGGAATTGATCTGCTTTTGTTGGAGATCCATCAACTGTATGTGAAGCCTGACGCAAGGAAACAACAACACAACATTTTAGAATTCAATTTTCTCCACCAATGTTAACAAATTGTTGAAGCCCCGAAAGGCAACAGTGTTCACGTCTCCCCAGACTATCGCCTTACTAGCAGTATACCAGGTGCGTGCTATTTTTAGAAAACGTTACGCTAAAAATACATGTCTACAAGTATATACGTCTTAGAACGCCGACAGAGTTCCACTTGTCGAACACTGGTGATTTCGTGCCCATGAGGGCATCAAGTGATAAATTGAAGACTTTCCTTAATTGCGATTTTCGCCCATAAAGCCGACATTCTTGTAAGACGCGCGCTGATCACGCGTCAGGGAAAGCGTAATATCCTCCTCTATTATTTTCTCCGTGATATTTTCTTTATTCCAAAAAGCAAGATTAATATTCTGCCCGCAAACAAAATAAAATCTTTGAAAATTTTTTCTTCCAAAAGATTTCTCAGACAGTCATTCAAAAGAAATACGTCCAAAATAGAAATCAACGGCGTGCTTGAGAAAACATTTGGGTTGACACTTTAAGGTACAGTTTTTGCCTAAAAATCAGAGGTCATGAGAGGCCGAGGACACTACAACGCTCTATGAAGCTCGTATAAGTTGAACATTGAACTTTGGACAACCGTTGTTGAAATCCAATGTCATTTTCTACATGTAACGGTGAGATGTGGGCATTCTCAACTTTTCAAATGGACGGCAAAATTTCGCTAAATGCATGTTCAGTGAAAGGTGTGGGAAGAACTGGGGACATTATCTCTTGTGGTGTCATTCAGGGTTAGGTGCCCACCAAACGCGGCTGTGAGTAAGGTAAGCTTTGCTTTATTTTAACATCTTGTAATATTTTCTTTGTGCCATGAAAAGCTTTATTCCGGTGGGCAAACGAGGCTATAATGGATTCTTCGTATTTTAGTAAATTGTACCAGGTAAGGACGTTTACAAATTTCAAGTTCCGTATATTAGAGATGATCGAGATGAAAAATAAACTTTAAAATAAAGGTTTTGAAGATTTTTTTTTTAACTTTTCCTTACAAGAAAAATATTTTCGTAAAAAAATAGACTGACAAAAAACGCGTGTTTATGCCAGCCATTTTGTTTCTGGTTTTACGATCACGCATTTTCACAAGATAGCGGGCCAATCAGATTTCTCGAATCACTGAGACCGTTGAGAGTTTTTCCACTGTGTGTCATAGGATTTGACCATGTCTAACTTCCGACGGTTTCCCAGTAAAATTGATACATGCACTGTGGGCCACTGTTTTTGCGAGCGAATATCTATTATTTCTGTCGACGCTACAGAGTTTAGCACCAGAGCTACAATGTTTAGCACCAGCTTTACTTACTTTGTTTGCCTGTCCATGGCCGCAACTCTCAGTGCCTCCCATCGGTCATTGAGTGAGATCATTTGTTCTCGAATCTCAGTTTCTTCTTTCTCGTTCACAAGCCCCTCGCTAATCAGTTGGTTACCAAACTCTAAAACAGCTCCCACTTCCGACTGATGAGAGGTAAGCTCCATCATGAAGTCCTGGAATTAGAAAAAACTTTTCTTGAAAAAATTTCTCATTCAAATAAATATGTTTTTAACTCAAGGTGATTCCTCAGTATTGCACGGCGCATCCTCAACTACGCATAAAAATCACGTAATCGGGCAAATAGGCGAGCGCATTTCAGTGATTTTCCCACAAATTATACATAAAATTGTTCCATACTTTCTACCTATTAAATTTTTTTCAAGTGTTATTTTAAAAACCTTGCTTCCAGCTACAGCAAAATGTACCGTGAACTGATGAAATGTCGAGTTAATATCTTGTAAAGATAACAGACCTCAAAGTCGGTTTATAGGAAGTGGTATTTACCTCATGTCCGTGAAACTGCTTTTTGACGGCGTCCACTTCACCAGAGATGTTCTCTTGTGATTCCAGAGTTCTTTCTGCCTTTGACAGCCAATTCAAAACATCCTGTAGCGCAGTGTTGTAGTCTTCCCACTCTTTAAACGAACCGACAGAATCTCGGATACTGCTGGTTTCACTGACCATGGAGTCGGGTCTTTCTGATTCCTGACTACGTTCAACCTGGGCATGAAAAAAAAATTTTTAAAAATGGGTCATCAACAACAGCTCTTGAGCATTCTTTATAGCACGTTGAACCTCTTATAAAGTTTTCGGGCGATTCTCCAAGTTTCCTGGTAAACATGAAGATAAGGAATTGAAAATTACCGCCACGTAGAATCTAATGGCTTCCGTCATAATTGCTCTAGTTTCCAGGACCGTATATCATTACAAAGATTTATCTAATCTGACAACTTGAAGGAATTTTGATTATTCACTGTTGCAACTAAGTGTGTTCGGTATTTGAATAGCAACACTGTTTTGCTTACTTTACAAACTTTAAGTTATGATCACTAAACGTGTGAATATCACGAGACAGAGCGATAAAAATAAACACGCCGAAAGAGGCCCTGGAGACAGAAAACGAAAAAATTCTCAAGCATCCTGTTTGTCGCGGCGAGAAATCAGAGAGAATTGTAACTTATTAGATTTTTTTTCTTTTATTGAGATTTGAAAACACATTTTATCACCATTGCAAATTACGTTCATATCTTCCTCACACCCATGTGGCTTGGTTGCTCAGTTGGTATCTGGAAATCACGTGTTCGAACATCGTCGGAGCATAACTTTCTCTCAAACTACATTTCTACGATATCTTTAATTATGGTTTACCTTTCAAGTTCAATCGGCTTTTTAGTGACTTACATGTGATATAATTATATGATATGATTGTAGACTTACCACAGTGGTAATGGCTGAGTGTTGTATTGGCGGCTCCTTCACTGTGGTACTTGTGGTGGTCACATATCTCACGGGTTCTCTCTCATCATAACCCTTTTTCACGTGTTTCACTGTGTGTTCAGTGTGATACGTGCTGCTAATCGTGCGTTTCGACACGGTATGAGTGTGTTCCGACTTCTCGATCTTGCGTGACGATGTACTCGTAGCGTTCCTTTGTACGGTCATGTGAGTCACGCCAGGTGCTAGCTTGTTGTACAAGTTCGAAACGTACATCAGGATTGACTTCTTGTCTGGTCGGTCACGCACAACATCTACAAAATATATATCATTTGGATTTAATTTTGGGTGTTAAAACTTCGCTGTTAAATTTATTGAGGCTCAGATTAACTACCCTGAATGTTTCCAGATATTCCAGAAAATTCCCTCCTGAATGTTCTAAATGATATAATAACATTTGTTTTAAAGATGTTTTAGACAAATTACACGATAGCTACGGCTGCCCAATTTCTGAAAAAAAATTAACACAACACATTCAATAATGAATGTTCAGGCATTTGTCTTTAAAACACACATGTACATATGAGGTACAATTTTTCAATGTATTTATTCGCATGTCAATGTACATATGTACCAGTTAAAACCGTCAGTAGAAGAAACGATTATCAGCAGCAAAGAACTTAGGTGTCCCTTGTAGCAATAATTGGCCAACATAAGTACAGTTAAAAGGATTGAGGATGATTGTGTCCTGCGCAATTAAATTATCAACTAAGAAATTTTGCTTTTGAAAATCGCCTCATTTGTAATCTTCCATTAACTTCACGAACAGAGGCCAGATGCTACAATAACCCATCATTTACATTGGATTAAACAAAGTTAAACCAGACTGAACAGAAGAGAACAAAATATTTTATTGTGTAAAGCTAGAAGTTGACCTGTCTTAAATTTAGTCAGTACCTGAAGGATCCAAAAGTCTGTCCACATCAAGAAACTGCTCTGCAACGGAAAACGCGTGTTCACAGCAATCGGAAGGATTCTTTTCCAGTTGGTCACTGTAGTCAAACAGATGGGGTCTGAAGAGGAGAAAAAATGTTGCTAACTCTTTAATTCCCAAGATCTGATTGTTAATTCTCCCCTCTAGCTGCTACACACTTCCTTGTAAATACGTTACGAGAATCTGGTGTCAGATCGAGATAACAACTTCTACCTGATAAGTTTGAATATTCTCATGACCTGTTTGCTGGATAATGTTCAGATATAATAGGGAGAAGTGTTAATGTTAATCACTTCTGGGAGTTAGAGGGTTAAAGTACAGCAACTACAAAGAACTTGCAATTTTCTTTTCCTTTATCAAATACTTGAGAGTCAACGGTTTTTGATTGTTTTGTTTGTTGTCGTTCTTTTTTTTTCATCCTCAGAGAGGATGGTGTCAGGTCATGGATGTGGGTGGTAAATCACCAGCAGACTTCAAGGGATGAGATGCATGTAGAGTATTATGGGAAGCATTTAGCAGGTCATGGATGTGGGCAATAGACTCCTTTCAATGGACAGCAGGAAGGAGGAGGTGGGTTGTCTTAGGTCAGGGATGTGGGTGGTAATTTGATGATTAATGGGTGGCAACTAAAAAATAGTGGGTGAGGATGATCAAAAGCATTTATTAGGTCATAGATGAATGTAGTAGACTGCTCCTGAAGGGTGGCAGGAAGGAAATGGTAGGTGGTAGATATCAGGTAATAGATTGTGGGTGGTAGACAAGTCAGGAAGTGGAAGTGTCACGTAGCAGTGGATGTCTTGAAGTACATGTTTCAGCAATAAATAGTGAAGAAATTAACAAGCATCTGACCTGTATCTATGGATTAACGCATTGAATGCCAGTCCATCACGCCAGCTTGTGGTAAAGTTCTTGACATCCACACCGTCATATCTAATATAAAAAACATTGATGGATATTACTACAACATAGTACTTTGATCCAATTTAGAAATCAATTCACCCAAAATACATTGCTATACCTTGCAATCAAAATACACCATATCCTCCATTCCATAAACCACATATTGTATATCTACATGTATCACTATGTCTCTAATTTTAAGTTGTAAAATCAAGGAAAAATCCTCAGAATAGCTACATATTAGCTCACAGCTTATTACCATCAAAAGGAAATTTCTTTAAGATACAAAAAAATGTATATCCCTCGTTATTTCCGGTAATCTATGCACTCCGTAATGCATTGCATGTGTCATTTGTCTGACATCATCACTCACCCCCTAACTGACTGACGACACCAGGCCAGCAGTTTCTCCTCTGGTGTCTCTGAATCAGAATCCAACATCAAATTCTTGAGCAGCAATTGCAACTAGAATGAAAAACATTGAATTATTTATCACTTGCTGCATAGATGTGATCCTCTACACAATTTTAAATGAGTCTCATAAAGCTGTACATTTATATTAGCATTTCCATATCAAACCACATCTCTTATGATACCATTCTGCGGTAGCAGTTGATGGAGCAGATTGGGGACAATAAACACCATACCCAAACATAAGAGCCTGCTTGCAGGCTAAACAGATGGCTGTAAGAGGTGTTTTTGAAACCCCAGGTTAATAAGTCAGAGAATTCATGTCAGTTTTTGACCTGTTGACTGTCACATTTTCAGAAAGCATTCACCAGCCCATTATTGCCTTTATCCTTCACATTGAGCTTACACCTCATTGCAAAGTGATAAAGCTTGAGTATCTCAACAATCCCAGGAAGGAGTTCAACCTCTTGGAGGGTGTGTTTTCAATCTGCAGTTCTTGAGGGTACAAGATTCCTCTAACCCCTATGATGCAAGTCATGCAATGTCAGGAAGCAAACCTCTTACTGAAAGATTTACATGTACAACATAAGCACCCTTCCTGTGTGGAAGCATGATGTGACATGGTGACCAAAAGTCAGTCACATTTACAAGACAATACGTGTATCTTCCTGCTTGGTGCATTTGCCTGCTCCTCCCGCAGAATACAATTGTCACATGTCAATAATATAATGCAATAGTGTAGAAAAAATTTTCATCTTCATACCTGAAAGTGTGAAATGATGTACCACATCAGCCCCAAGGTTAGTTTGGGGTTTCCATCAACAATGTCATCATTACTGATATTAACAGGTCGTACCTGATCAATAGAAAAAAGTATAATTTATTCATATTGGTAAAAGCCTGATAAGTATGCATACATGTTTGAATCAACATAAACAATTGGTAAAAACCACTTACATTGTTTTCCTCGAGGATCCGGAGGGCATTGTCTACATTGGTCATAAAGTGAACACGGGTGCGTCCTTTTTCACTTCTCTATCAAACAATGCAAAACAAATGGATTTTAAGACATAGAGAATTAAGCCTTAATTGCAAGTCTTTTTAAATTACATGCACTCAAAATTTCACTTATTTTAAAGGAAATCAGAATACTGTAAATACTCTTAGCTGTAACTAAAGTTACATAGAACATGACATGTAACTGCAGTATACATTTCAAAGGGGAGTCACAAAAAGTGCTTTTTCAATTACAACAACATTTATATGACACAGAAATCAAGATTACAACAATCTATCAGACTTACAATTCGTTTTCCACATAAAATTTCCAGCAGCAGAAGTAGTTTGGTTCCATCTTTTAGGTCTTCAAACAAATCCTTAACTTGTTGGCCACTGCCAGCCTACCAACACAGAAAATGAATAGTTTTGAAAAATTCGAATTACACCACCAAAAAGTGTATAATAGTAAATGCTACAATCACACCACAATTGTTGAAATAAACTAGCCCTTAACTTCTGTGCAAAGTGACCAAAATGATAATCTACAATTTGCATGTGCTAAATATCTGCATTATCCTGGTTGTTCCAACTCACACCTTCTCCCCTCCTCCCCTCCTGCCTCCCCTCTCCCCTCACTCACCCAGCTCATCACCAGAGCTGTCATTAACTGTTGGCTTGTCTATCATCTTTAGCAAACTGCTTTCCCCTCATTTTACAGTAATTTCTATTGTAAAATTGTTCAGTTGATGAAACACCATAAAAAAAATTGTACAACAGCTTTCATCAGTTTGAAAAGGAATTAAATGCATAATTTGCACGCAACAAGCTTAGATGCACAACTCCATCCCACGTGCAGAATTTGCTGGAAGATTCATGCAAATAATTCCCATGTAATTTGACATAACAACATGGCATTTGCAATAACCTTACTGCCTAATATTTCTCATTTGCCTTCTACTTTAAATCTTGTTGAAAGCCCTTACCACATGTAAAAAATGACTTTTTTTCTCTACTTACAATCAAAGTGATAAAGAACTATCACATGTATATATTATACAACTACATAAGCTATAGACATTAAAGAAATCACCCCCGGAGACAAAAACAACAGAGATGGTAACAAAATGGAAAAAACATCACAGAAATCAAGTGATATGAGAAAACATGTATTGTACCTTGGCTAGTTGTGCATTTATCCACTTTGTGAAGGTTTTCTTCTGTGTTCCTTCATGTTCATCTAAAAATAGAGCAGAAAAGGAAATTAATCAGAGAGCATATACACAAACATTAAAAGAATTTGAACTTCCTTTTCACCAGTGACAGATCTATATTTAGAACACAAATGAAGATAAGTGAAAGGTACATATATAGAGTAAGCAATATCACATGTACATGCAACTATCCAATATTTCAGCATGACAGAGAGAAAACATTCTGCTCCTTTGAAGAAACATAAAGGAAATATCAACAAAAACAGGGAGAATCCAATGACCTATGATCTTATAAATTATACTTTCTACAATGAAAGTACATGATAATTCTGATTTCTTTAATAAATTTTCATTCAAATGGTTGATCGATCAACAACAATCATCAAGCTTCTTGTGCCAGAGGGGTAAAAAAAATTGGAGAATTAAGATAGAGAAATGGTGAAAACAAAAATAACAGGAATGAGGGAAAAATGGCTAAAATATCTTGGAGGGAGAATGAATCCCTTTGAAATCTAGAAACAAGAAAGATAGAATATTCAGAATGATACATTTCTTCCCAATCACTGGAAGGGTTTCAAAGTTGAAAAAGCTGCACAAAAGTATTTAGGTGGTATTAATGTACACTTTGACTTAAAAGTGCTCAGCAAAGGCAGAGAAACACATTGCATATTCCATCATGCATAATAGATTAATTTCCCTTTATTTGCCCACAGTTTAGCTACTAGGTTTAGCTCTAAAATTACAACTCATTGTGGTACTCTGTAGGGAATCATAACTGGATCAAATTACATTTAATTTTTAAAAAAATCTTTAGCTCTGATACATAAAGATCAATTAATTTGAACCCCAAAATTAACTTTTATGAATTACCTCACCACTGCTTTAATATGTAATGAGCTGAGGTAATGAATGATCTTCTATGCCAAATGAACATTACTTTTGTAACAAACCCTGGGTAAAATTTCGATTTTACTTGATGAGTTTACTGATATTCTAACCTTACTCTTAATGTTTTAAATCTCAGCCCCCTGCTAATTGAATTGGTGTGTTCAAAATTCTAAATGTAAAATGTATTGTGGTTTCCCACGGAAGGATATTGACAATGCAAATATTTCACGTCTGGATCAAAATCACTTAAATTGATCAGCTGATATGTTAGTGTCCTCAATATATGAGCGCATTTGCTTCAACAGGGTTGCGTGAAATTCGCTTGTTCCATTCCTCGTGAAATCCACAACGATGTAGATTTCAACGGAGTAATTGAACACGTGAAGAGTGAAGAGACAGTAAGCTCCTAAAAAGCCACAGGCATTTCTCAAATGCGAGGTATTCGACTCATAACAAGATAAATCTCGCATGGTGAAAATTCGCAAAAAACTTTGCATTTGACCTTTTATTCGATCTTGTTAGTGAAATCATTGGTGTTCTAATTTCCCAATTATCGGCATATGGTTTCTCTAAAAAACTTAAATAAAAAGTACCCCAGCTTTTTAAGGTCAATTATGGAAATCATGTACTGTGTTGTCATAACGGCTAGCCGCTTATGCTATGTCCATAAAGTGAAGGAATGAGCACATTGCGCTCTACAACAATCTTCAAAACAATTTTTGAATGCCGAACCGTCTACAACCTCCAGATTTAAATGACTTAGTATTCAAAGCTTGAGTTCAAAGATCCTAATAGTAAACAAAGTAGCACTTTTTATTCATTTAGGTGTCAGGATGAAGAGCCCGAACAAGAAGGTACGTAAAGAGTATAAAAACACGTCAAGTAAGCCGTGAACGACTAACAAAACAACATGGCGAAAGCGACCTAAGAACTCAACGGGCACGAGTTGCTTCGCTTCAACGCTGAAATTATTTACCCCGAGAGCGAAAAAAAAACCCACGGGAAAAAATTAAGTTTATTGTTTAAGTCTAAGAAACTTTCTATCCTGATGACAATTGCGGGATTAGGTTATTGTCCGCAAGAAAACCACCCTTCCGTTCGAGAGCGTGGACTCACAAACATGCTTGAAACCTTCGGAAGACAACACCTAAGAAAATTCTCGTTTAAATGCGAAGCTTCCCTTTAATTTATTGTATAAAAACAAAAGGCCTCTCTCTGACGGTTGGAGAACATTTCAATACAGCCAAAATAGGTGTCACCGAAATAAAATGACGCTTTAGAACTCAGTCATGCGATAACAGAGATCACGATCGAACAGCTGAATTCACACTTGGATGTTTATAAGATGTCCATTTTCGTCATGGGAAGTACTCCATAACGAAACACAAATCTTACCTGAACGGGACTTAATTCGCAGCGTGAATGTTCCACTATCGTCTTCTTCAAAACTCATGATTCGATACCTCCCAGCTGAAGATTCAGTTGAAATTCTGTCAATGACTGTTGCAAAAAGATTTTGTTCGCCCACAGCAAATCAATCGTTCATCAACATTTGGGACAAAGCATTCCAAAACTGCTGAAGGATACAAAAAGGCACGGGTATCGTTAAGTCTTCGATCTGTTGCTCAGTCAACATTAAATACATCGACTCAATAAAAACCAGATGATTTCATGTAGCACGCTCAGGGAGCGAAAAGAGCAGTCGATGTCTGTGAGTGAGAGAGCGCTCGTACCTGACATGTGTTGCACAACCAGCGAACAATCCTTCGACTCAAGACCCACGAACTTCCTTTGAAGTACCGAGCGAAGGAATAATTGAACCACGACTGCTACAGCGTACTACGATATTCCAAGCACTAGGTGGAGTGCCCCAGAGACACAACACATCAGCGATGAAATATTTCTGAAATATTCGCTCATGCGGAGCAAGGACTCAAATGATCTCGGACGCGGCAAAAAGTAAGACAATGGGTAATTGATTTGAGCCAATAAGATCGTTAGGTACGATATGTGAACTATGTGGCGAATTTAAAGTCACTTTGGTATAGTGGACATCTTCAAGACACACGAAACTAAACTCTTGGTAAAACATACTTGAGGAGAGAAGATAAAACAACTGATAAGATTTTCTAATTTGATATCTTACAGCTTTACAGAACAAGGGAAGGCTAAAATCAAATTTATCGAATTTCATTGAAAAATCATCCGCTTTGTTAAGTGTAAAATCATCTGTACACCTAGAGAAATATCAACTGCAAAGTAATATCTATTAAAACAAGTTAAAGACAGGATATTACTTCAAAACCTTTGTTTAAAGATAATATTGTGCCCCCAAGGCTGTTAATCTCGTAAAAGCGTCGTCGAGAGAGGGAAGAATGCTTCTTTCTGTGCTTCGCAAAACACAGAGACAGCTAAGCGTGGGTTTAAACAAATGAGTCCAACTCTTCCCGATTTTTGATGGATTTGTTTTCTTTGCTCAGTTTTCGCTCAACTGTATCCCCCTTAAGAGATAATTTAACTTACAGGAGATCACGCAAAACAATGCAGTTCGATTAATTATATTCGCTCAGAAATCAACAAAACTGATCGTTCACACATTGGATGGATATCGAACGTTTTAATACCTCACGAATAAGTAAAGTTCAGGAAAGGAACTAAAAAAAGTATTTCTTTCCGAATCAAATAATTTCCTTTGTGTTTTGTACGTTTTGAGCAATCTATCTGTCAGTTGCCAATCTGTTTAGCAGACCCTTGCATGTAAGAGCCCTCTGCATTCGATGTCATGACACTCATATCATTCTCGTAATTGAAATACAACTGAAAACCAACTCCTTATTTTTTCGTCTCAATGCTCAAGAAGCGCTGACAAAATATTGCACTTTCGCTATTAATATCTGTTCGATTTTTGGGAACGATTTTAAATCCTGTTGTGACTTCTCAAAATTTTGAAAGTTGCGTGGCCGTGAATCGTTTAATTACATTAATCCATTGATGTATTGTATGTGACACAAAATCACGGGAAAAGCGGAAAACAAGTACAACTTCCTGCGCGTGGGAATGACAAAGTACAACAATTAAAACCGTCGTCGGGGTAAAAGCCCTAGAAAGATTTGTTTCCACTGATGGTATGTACCTGTTTTGAGTTATTCTAAAGTAGTTTGTCAAGACAGTTTCGAGCGAAATTAAACTCTATTAGTAAAAAGCTGGAATAAAAATATGATTGTCATGATACGCAATGGTTTATTCGCAAAGTCCAACGGTCCTTTAATGAGCCACTCGTGATCAGTTGGTTTTTAAGTCCGATCACTATACTCAGAAGCTTACCAATTTAACATTGACTGACTGACTGACTGACTGACTTACTAACTTACTGATTTACTGACTGATCGTCTGAGTGACTGATTGACTAACTGATTGACTAACTGACTGACTGACTGGTTGACTGACTTAATGACTGACTAATTGACTCACTGGTTGACTGACTGAATGATTGAATGATAGACTGACTGACCGACTGACTGACCGACTGATTGACTGACGAGCTGGACTGATTGTGTGGCTCACTGACTGACTGAATGACAGATTGACTGACTGCCTCACTGACTCACTGACCCACCGATTGATTCTATGATTGACTGACGCAACTAACATTGAAAAAAAGTGTATGTACTTGATGAAAATCAGTTTCATTACAATTAAGTCCCTCTTCCACTTAAAGAATAACATTTCCTGTTGTTTTCCGATGAATTGTTTATCTAGGAGTTTATATTGGCCTGTGGGTAGCCCGCTAGCGAGCATAGCTTTCCTATAAGTGACAGGAAGCAGTATGCATACGCACGAAGTAAATGGCTCTCTTGACTTTTTAGCATACCTTGTCTCTGTTGAAGTAAAATGATTCGCAGAAAAACTTATATGGCAGTTACCAACCACTACTGAATAAAATTCGGTCTTAAGACTATAAAGCGTCATGTGACTCATCAAAGAAGAATACGTGACTTGATTTCTTTTGTTTCATTCAGCTGCTTAGCAGCCCTTTCATTGTAAGTGGAAACTGTTTGACGAGTTGTGTGGTGTATAGCGATGAGAAGAAACTGACCGATGTCATCAATTTTGGTGCGCTTTGGCTTCAAACAAACGAGTTGGATGATACTTAGGGTTTTTTTACGCTAATTACAGGCGAACCACACAGATTTTACAATTTATGAATGCTGCTTACATGTAACATGGAGGAGAAATTGTACAAAATTATGAAATAACCAGCGAAAACTGCTAAGAAGCATCCGGTTGTATCCGACAGCCCCGGCGAGGACCTGAAACTCAGGATATTGCTTAAACATGAAGTTGAACCAACCTCACTGATTCCAAATATGGTAGTCAGTAAAAGCAGTGGCAGTGATTAACGTGATCCAGTTACACAGTTTGGATTTCTATAAATGTGCACTTTGGGTAGCGATCGCCTGCTAATTTCACTAAAATCCACAGAATGGTTGTAATCGCTGAGCCAGACGAACTGAAGGCAGAAGGTGAAAAAAATAGTCATAATAGAAAAACAGCCTTACTTTTTTGCCATTCTGATAAAGCTAACAAGTTTACTTTCGAGTAAATAGAAACCACATGTCGTGGCGTGCGTACAAATGAAATCAACTCGAAATTTAATAGCAAGTTTCGAACCCAGTTCGAAACTTGCCATTTTGGGTTTTTAAGTTAAAAAAACAACAACAACAAAACGTGGTGTGTATGAAAACGGATGTTCTTCTAAAACTGATGCACTTTTCCTCGCGAATTAAACGGTCTCAACTGTTCTTTTGTCGCGATCAGCTACGACCCCAAATGTTATTGTTCTTTCAGGGTCTGTTTTGTAATTGTTTACAACGATTTCATATATTTCCTATGAACAATTAAAATAGTGAAATACTAAAAAAATCAATAAGAGTAAAAGGAAGCAATCCCAAGGTAGCACTTCTTGTCCACTCTCTCCACGTCAAATCAAAATTCAACGTGTTACTTTCGAAAGTTTGAGAGACGTGTGCTTCCTCAATAAACATAGATTGTTATAAAATGAGGTATTTTTTTCCTTAAACAGTCTATCATCCACGACTAATGATAGCAGAATTCCTTTCCGTACCTGTAGAGCTGCTTTGCAGCGGCTTCATGTTGTTCACAGAACACATCTTCAAACTTTCCGAAGACAAGGATTCATTCACCGGAGAATTGCCTGTTGATTGTACACAATTTAACGCAGAAGATACCTTGAGTGAAGAATTTGAAAACCCACGAAACTCCACAGATACATCCACATGGCGAGAAAACAGACCAGCAATGAAAGTCTCCTTGAAGAAGAGTGCCTGGTTTGCATTTCAGGTAACAGTGCTGACTGGTGGCTTTATAGGTGTTGGGTGCATCTTCTTTATATACTTTCAAATGAAGATAATTTTCGTCTGCGATTGGAAGGCACTCCGTGATTCGTCCATCCCTCTAGAAAAAAAGCGACCGCGTATCATTGGTGAATCGTACCTGGCTTCAACTCTCTACCTCTGGCAGCCACTGATGTTGCTATTTGTGTTCAGATGGCCTCTAATCAAACAAGTTAACTTAGTTACGTTTACGTTGATTGGAATTTTCTTTGATCTCGCCTACAGATTTTTGGTCGCTGTCTATGGGTTGTACTACCCTCCGTGGATTCCATATCCACTGAATATTCTTTATTTAATTATGATTCTTGTCCAAAGTTTTTCTGTCGGGCGTATTTTCAGAGGTAATATATTTAGTGCAAGTTTATTCGGATTTAAGCTCTGTGCGCAGTTCATCATAGGGGCCCCAGTGTTTTATTTGTTCGCGTCCGTCTTGTGTCCACTGTTTGCGCACCTCGAAGGTATTTTAAAAGTCGCCATGATTGCTCTTTCATATTCAGTCGGCATAATACCTAAGATACTCTCAAAGCGATGTGTCTCAGGATTGTACGTTATAAACCCAGGCTTTTCATATGTTTTGGTGTCTACTGCATCTAGCGCGGTTTGCATGGCGGTGAAATTTATGCTGGCCGAATTTAAAAGCTTTTGGGCGTTTATTGCGTTAATTATCGGCGAACAAACAATTCACCTAGTGTACCAACTAATCGTCAAAGCTGGAGAATCTCACGAGGATAAATCACAGTCTGAGAGAATTTTACTCTCTGGGTTGGAAGCAGATCCCACAGGACCATTTAGTGCCGCCAAAATGAAGGAACGTCGATCTCAGAGGCTAGCCGCTGACCTAACAATACACGAAATGATGTCTAGCGCTGCCGCAATTGTCCTCTCAGTTGGACTTATGATAGTTTATGGTATAATTCACCGGATCCTGCGTCCTGAAGAGTACCAGGAAATGATTGTGGATCTTTTGATACGTATAGTTTTAGCGCTGCTTGTAGAGATCATGTTCAACGTAATATTTGTGATGATGCTAACTCGTACAAGAAATATTCCAGTTCTTAAAGTATGGAATGTAAAATGGAAATCGCATCTTATTGTTTGTATAGTTACTGTCTATATGATTGTAAATTATTATGCAAACAAAATTTTGCTGATTTTCAGCACACTACACGAAGCTGAGGGGAAGATTGATAATTGTTAATTAGGCAGAGATTTTAACTTTCTTTTCAGCATAACCACAGATATAAAGATGCTGTTCACTTTGTTCTCAGGTTTCAGAAAAAGGTATTAAAATACAGGCCTCACTGTCAATAGAAGTCTTAAACCATATAGTAAAAAAATGCGTCTCATTATCATAACTTTAGTACGAGTCCTGTTCTGATAACTACATAATCGTTCCTCTTTCAACTTGAATGGCATTTACCTGCCGCACGACAATTCTGGAAAACACTTTATTGATAAAAATTTTAACCATCACAAAAATCAACAGAACTGGTATCCAAATAACCTACGTCAACAAGAAACGAAGTTCGCACAAACCCTCAAAACAGCTCGGCGGAAGGCTGAAGGTATGTTAGCGAAGAATAGGTAGCCTGCCTATAGCCCTCCTATACCGTCCACCATACATACCCCATCCCAAATTCCCTTTAGAGAGGCCCTCCGAAAAAGAATTTTGCAACAAAAAGTTGCGAAGGCATCATCAATATATGATTATTTCTACATATAATTTTTTAAGCATGACATTAGCAGCTAAAACGTATTTAACAGAACTAGCTGTTGCTCGAGGAAAAAGAAAGGGCGATTGTTACAAAAAATAAAATCTGAACTTCGTAAGTACATCATCATCTGGCATCGAGCGATAATCTATCTTCATTGT